TCAAGCAGTCATAGTGAACACAGGGACCATTCTAACGACATGGTCCTGTTTGAAAGGCGCGGAGGGGAACAACGTTCCTCGGAACAAACAACATCTACTAGCGTCACCGAGGAGAAGACCATGGACCAGCAACAACCCAGAGCCAACCCATACAACCTACGATCCAAGAATGGACCACGAACGCGAAAAAGTTCAACTCCTTTGTAAACCTTTCATCAAATTACTTTAGTATATTTATATATGTAATATCATATTAGACTAACACATCTATGTAATATCATATTAGATTAACACGTTTATTCCTTACCATCAAACTAGTTTAGTATATTTATATATGTAATACCACATTATATCGTAGAGGTAAATCATCTATCATTATAATATTTAAATTAAGCTTACATATATGTATAAAATTTCGTATACAATATTTAATTGTAAGTTACAATACTCACCGGCCAAACTAAGAATGCTAGATCGCCAAAATCCTCATCCAAACATTATATATAATTATATATAATCTTTGGACTAAAAGGAGGGAGGTGTTGTATGACTAACTCATAAGCCAACATAGATACCGCACTAGAATCATCCTTGCACAAACATCCCAGTCATAGGTTCCAAACTCCAGCCTTTCTAGCCTCCTGTACCCGCTTACTTATCCTGTACCCGGTTACTCATTCCGTACGCCACCATTGTCACCCTCAAATATACAGGGTGTTCGGCCACCTCTTGCAAAAATTTTAATGAGCGATAGTAGAGGCCAAAATAAGACGAAAATCAAGAATACTAATTAGTTGATGGAGGCTTCGTTGCAAAGTTATTAACATTTAAAGTTCCGCCTGTAGAATGACAATCCGCTAAACAGCTGGTTCGCGCGGACGGTTGCGGCAGGCGAGTGCTAGTGGTTCTCACGCAGCATGAAAAATTCTGATTACCGACATTATCGACAGCCTTAGATTTTTGTCCACTTATGGGAATGCGAACACCTTACGTTGAATAAGATTCAACCTGTCTTATGAAAATCCAGAAGGGCATATCAAAACTCGTCCGACGAGATTTTCACAGAGAAAGGGTGAATGCCAGTTCCAATACACAATGTTGTGAACAAAAATCACCCACATGCGATTATACACGCCCCACGATTGTCCACAGTGTCCACAAGTATCCACAAATAATCCTTTCAGGCACTAACCACTATGCAATTAAATAAACACGTACCGCGATTATGTTATTCGTGAATGTCTACGTGTACGTGTATCACGATTCTTCCGAGTTACTTACGAATAAAACTGTTATTAATTTTTCAAATACACTTCAATTTAAAAATGTAAACAGGAATTTAATAAGTATTCGCTGATTGTTTATATCACTGTATTTCTTACATGCTACTTAATACATAACTGAAATGTGTCGCGTGAACTAGCTTGACTGATACTGTTTTACGACTGACTAGCTGGCCGAACACGTGCCGATGCTGCCCTTTGTCTCCGCTGTGTGTGAGAGAGATAAGCGAGGCGAGTGACGTAGAATCGGGGCCTGTTCGGCATATGTTTCTCTGAACCTCGTCGATCGATGGCACAGTCAGCTGCTAGTATTGTTACATTCTTCGCCGTGAACGTAAATCGATGCGAAAATTTCATTTATCCTGCGATTCCTTTTTACATTTTTAAATTGAAGTGTATTTGAAAAATTAATAACAGTTTTATTCGTAAGTAACTCGGAAGAATCGTGATACACGTACACGTAGACATTCACGAATAACATAATCGCGGTACGTGTTTATTTAATTGCATAGTGGTTAGTGCCTGAAAGGATTATTTGTGGATACTTGTGGACACTGTGGACAATCGTGGGGCGTGTATAATCGCATGTGGGTGATTTTTGTTCACAACATTGTGTATTGGAACTGGCATTCACCCTTTCTCTGTGAAAATCTCGTCGGACGAGTTTTGATATGCCCTTCTGGATTTTCATAAGACAGGTTGAATCTTATTCAACGTAAGGTGTTCGCATTCCCATAAGTGGACAAAAATCTAAGGCTGTCGATAATGTCGGTAAGCAGAATTTTTCATGCTGCGTGAGAACCACTAGCACTCGCCTGCCGCAACCGTCCGCGCGAACCAGCTGTTTAGCGGATTGTCATTCTACAGGCGGAACTTTAAATGTTAATAACTTTGCAACGAAGCCTCCATCAACTAATTAGTATTCTTGATTTTCGTCTTATTTTGGCCTCTACTATCGCTCATTAAAATTTTTGCTAGAGGTGGCCGAACACCCTGTATAAACGACGCACATTTTTGGACTCAGGTCAGATCTCTGTAGTTTGTACTAACGTGCGGAACTTGCCGTAACGATCGAATAAAACCACCAGTCTCTCTAGTAAAGTGTTGTTCTTAATCCCGCAACCCGGGATCCAACAATAAACAAAACAGTAGAATTAATAATTGCAGAAATTAATTAATAATGATTTTCCTCGATTGTTTTGAAATAACCGTATCAATTGGTTATGACGAACTAAATAGAACTAACTAGAAACAACGGAAAAGTAATCCCGTTTGCCAGTTTAATACAAAGTATGGGTTGTATCTTAAATTTTAAAAGCACATAGTCGAATATTTTTAAAGGTACAAAACATAGCGTTTCATTGTAGAACAGTAACATAAGTTAGCAGGTAATGTCATAAAACTGTTTTTCCCAGCTATATCCCTTTTTACCTGAAGTATAAGGTAAAAAGTACGAGCTACAAGGTACGACTATCCGAAAATCGTTCACATTTTATCAATGTAAATGAAGCGGCCTTTCTATCAGAGTTAAGTACAAAATTTTGTTATTTCTGTGAAAACAGAACTTTCATTAGATGTAGGTGGTGCTTGAAATTGTTATGTTTTCACTGTTTTTACGAAAAGTACCATCCAGATTCATGTACTTCGTACATTGAAAATAACATATGTTAAATGTAATTGGTTAAATTCAACTTTAAAAAAAAAATATTCGAAGGTCAGACAAAAATATAATGTCACATTTAGTGTACGATTAAAATATGATTGAAAAAATAAAAAAAAAGGCTTTCTTTTGGCAGGGTTTGAACCTGCAGAGCAGAAGACGTTCGGAACTTGCAGGCAAAGACCTCATCACTCACGCCACACTGATTAGTGGTAAACACAGTTCTATTTCTGAAAATAAGTACCTGTAATAACTTTAATAATACTCAAAGTAAAACCTAACCCAAAACCTGGTACCATTCCAACTTTTCCTTGTTAGAAACGAGTTTTCAATTTGTCTTAGCGAAAGTCGCAATCACATTTTGCACATTATTCTAAAACATTTGTGATATTCGTTTTCAATGCGATTTAAGTAAGCATGTAATGTATAAGATTTCATTTAATGTTTTCTTTTCTAGAGAAGATAGAGAAAAAGTTTATATAATTTTTTTTATATAAAATTTAATTCGTCCTAAGATTTATATGAAACATTTAAAAGATTTTTTATACATTATGCCTATACATATATCGGAACAACTATGAAACAAGAGGTATAATCTGTAAGGAGTGAATGTGTGTGGCTAGGAGAACCGTTATCGTTTGCGTCGATAGGAGTGTTTAGTCTAAGCTAGAGTAGGTATCGAGTGAGGTGTTTAGGTTTAAGCTGAAATACGTTTTAGAGACTGCGTCTCGAACGTGCGTTTTGTTTAGATCATTATTATAAGATAGGAATAAGGAAGGGTCGACTTTGACTGCAGGAACGTCACTCTCTATCGAACGTTAGTCGAGAGCAATCACAGTTTTACGTTTATGATCTTTTACGTTTACGTTTTATGTCTTTCTTTTATGTTCTTTATGTTAAATAGTTAGTAAATATTAAATAATATAATTACATCGTTACGTTTAGTGTTTACGTATCTGAATCCGTCCACACGCCTTTGAAATGAGAACATAAAACTTAAATGTAAAGTTTCATTTAAATTCATTCAGCTATTTATATTCAATCGTATTAATAATATACATATGTGTGCTCATACATGGGAATAAAAAAAAATTTCTTTTTTTTTCAATAATTAAAATATGATCAGGAGGTCTTAAAACATGTATTTCCGTAAAATAAATTTTACAAAATTTTTTTTTCATTATGGGTACTTTGCTTATGTGCGCCTACATAGGTCGGAAAGTAAAAATGCCTGGGCAGTCGAGAATCTCGGCTCGAGAATCCAAATCGTATGCCGTTGACGGGAGGTCGGATTTCAGTTGTTTAGAGCGAGAAGGCAAATGTGAACCTTTTTCTCTCGACTCCCACGAGGCGATCCGAAATTACTTCGGGCAGCTTCGGAGAATCGAGAAAGAGGGCATGCGTCAGTTTGCCTTTGTCGACTTTCCGAAACTCCACGAGCTCACGTACGCGTATCTGGCATGTGTGCGTGTGCACCCGGCGGTGCTTTTCTGGCATCTCTGTCAGTATACCCCTGGTCCTGATCGTCTTTTGGTTTTCCTTCGCGCCGGGTGCAAAAGTTCTCAGCGCGTGCCGTGGAACACTCTCGGTCCTTCGAGGATCGAGAATATTCCGCGACACGTGCAGTCGATCGATATTGCACCCAGTCCGAATCAGTTGCACACGGCACCGTTTCTAGTGGGCCTCAACAGGGACGAACGCCTAGAACAATGAGAGGATTTTCGAAGAGAAGCAGAATGGTTTTCAATCTCGACCGAGTTTTATCTAAAAGTGGTACACTGAGTTAACTCCAACAAATAAATTTTGCAAAAGTATTCTTGAACGGATCGAGTAGTTTGATTTTGCGCGCCTCGCCTGCCGAGCGGTTCAGCGCTCCACGGGCACCAACCCACCTCCTTTTTTCCCTTAACCGCGAACTCAGGACGCAACAGTTGTGACTTATACTTAGTGATTTAAAGTTTTTAGTCTGTTTTATTCAACCAGTTATCCAGATATTCTGTTATGTATTGTGAATCACACATAAGTATTTCCACCAGTGTACCAGAGGGGAGGGGTAATTTCCGGTGGACGAGGGGACAAACAAATTGAATGTACAAAGTTTAACTCAGAAATTAATAGAAATTAGTTTTGCAACACTGGTCCAAAGATTTTATTGTTTTGAAACGTGTATAAAACAATAATAAGATGGAAGATTCCAAAGTATTGCACGTAGAAATATGTCAAAAAGCCACCAGGTATTATCGGTTCTTTGTTAACGAAAATTTGCATTTTTAGTTTTACAATGAATAATTTATCTTTACATCTTACTGAAAATATTTGTCAAATTCTTCTTATATAATTCTAAAAATCGTGTTAATCAACATGTTTTTTAAATATTGCTTACACAATGTTTTACTTTCAGTTTGTTGACTACTAGGCACATAGAGGAGATGGTACATGAAGAGATAAAAAAATTGGAGGATGTTCAATTAGAAACTATTATGTATGGATACAATTTCCCATATCCTGTAAAAGATCATGTTAATTCAATAGTATATTCTCCCAGACATTGGCCGGTAATATATTAAAAACAAATGAATTTTGATAGAATATTTTATTGGAATAAATTTTATTCTTAAAGGGAGGTTACATGAAAGTACAAGAAGCCAGTTTAAGATTTCATGTATATAAATTAACCAAAGAGGATGCAGCTACAGAAGTGATGGAAAATGATAGTGAAAATTTGCCAGTATCTTCTCATTGGATTTTGCCTTCAAGAGAATTTCATCTTCTGTGGGAAAATCTTTATTTTGATTCTAACATAAAAGAAGATGTTAGTTGAAACTGTTTTATCTATTTCAATTTATAATAATTTTTGTAATCTATACAAAAATTTTTTTCAGTTGTTATGCTACGTGACAACATCAGTGTTATTTTCACGGCGCAATGTTGATCCTAACATTATAAGCTGTAATAAAGTAGTGTTATTACACGGACCTCCAGGTACTGGTAAAACTAGCCTGTGCAAAGCTATTGCACAAAAAATAGCTATTCGTGGGATGGGATTTACTCACGTCGAATTTGTTGAAATAAACAGTCACAGTCTATTTTCAAAGTGGTTTTCAGAGGTGATTTACTACTTCTGTATCAAGTAAATTATTTTAACAAATCCGAGATTAAACTTTGACTATTTTCAGAGTGGAAAATTAGTCATGAAATTATTTTCCGAAATGAAGCGTCTTCTCGAAAATTCTGAAGTATTAGTTTGCATTCTGATCGATGAAATAGAATCGTTAGCACATGCTCGTAAGTCGTGTAGTAATGGAGTAGAACCCACTGACTCTATAAGAGTAGTGAATGCCTTACTAACACAACTGGATATAATAAAACGATACCCGAATGTTTTAATTCTGACTACTAGTAATTTATCAGAAGCCATTGATTTAGCGTTTGTCGATAGAGCAGACATAATACAGTATATTGGCCATCCCACTCATCAAGCTATATACAAAATTTATGCTTCTTGCATTAAAGAGTTGATGAGGGTAAATACATATATTTTCTTATGTGTGTTTTATTAATTGCATTACTTACACATTAATATTTCAGGTATCTCTGCTACAGTCCCAAGATATTTTTGATTTTTCTTACTTAGAAAAATTAGGCTTTGAAGAAAACACTCAAACAAAGGACAGCCTTCAATTAATGAAACTCAGTCAGAAAAGTTTCAGGCTTAGCGGACGAATTTTAAGGAAAATACCATTTTTAGCTTATGCAATGACTTTGCTCGCGAAATCGCATACATTGAGTCTACTTTTAGAATCCATGCATCTAGTTGTTGTAAAACAAGAAGAAAAGATGATGTCGCGCAAACATTGAGATATTTGTTATAAAAGTTAAATTCTGTTAATATGTACCATGTGTGTCTATAAAATATAAGTACATTAATTTTTTTTATGTCAAAATAAAATATCGTTAATAAAATATTGTAAATGAAAATAACTTATAGTCCGCATTAGGCTATTAAAATATTACGAATATTCAGTCTGCCCTGTATATTTCCATTCAAATGAAAAGATCATATATATTTGTAATCATTTTGAATTTCCCGCCGCTTGATTATTCGATATGTTCGTCTCTATGTTAACCGCTTATCTAGAATCGTGGTAGTTTATGGCACATGAACGTCGTCGTATGCTCGGTGTGGTCGATGCGATCAGTTGTTTTCGAGCTTAAGAGCGTGGAAGTGTTGTTCTTCTGTTTCTGTCGGTTGTTTTCATTCGATCGTATAGGCAAGAATCGAATAACATCGATAAATTACTGCGTGTAACGTAGTTTACGGCGTGATTCGTGCGTGTAAACGTTGAGTGTTTCTCGTTTCTTTCCCTGTCGCGAAGTATATGCTTCCGGAGTGACAGAATCCCGCAAAAATCGAAGAATGTTGGATCGCGATACTGCGATACACCTCATTGCCGGAGGGTGGGTTCCACTTTTTTTTCTTCCCTTCACGTTTAATCTTACTTTCTGAACAAAACTAATTTTAAGAAAAAAAAACACCGCCGTCCGTTCGAAAGAGTTCGTTGCAAAATATGCGTATTTTACGAAGCGAAACGCACATGTGAATTGGCGTATTAGCGCAGATGTATTTTATTTTGTTTAGACCAACTTTATTGATACTATTACTCCTTGCGTGGAACATGAGTAAATTATATAACTCGATTACATATTAAATTGAACGAAATTATTTACCAAAGATTATTAGTGTGTTTGATACTCTGTAGGGTTGCCACCTTTCTCCGATACTAAAACCGAAAACTGGGAACCTGGTAATAAAGAACTACTAAGTCGCTAAAATTCGTTGTAGAAAACACTTCATTCTGCAAAATGCGTGTGAATTCGTGAACAGCAGGTCAATAATGAGTGTGATTTAGAATATTTGATAATAAATATATGAAACTGTTAAGGGAAAATTCCATAGGAGCAAGTACTGCGACATTGTTTGCCGGCACGTTTTACGTCATCTTCGCCGGTCTTCTCTCATGCATGTAGACGAGTTACGAAAATACTTAGAACGTTCGAGGTGGAAAATTATAATGGATACGATATGTGAGCTACATCGGTTTTCGAAATATTGGTATATCAAGATAGCTGTTGAAATTGTATGGGAAAAATTTGAAGAAAATCTAACAATACCGTGAATACACTCGAACGATGAACTGTTATTGCATAATTGGGCCACCTTTAACGCTAATGAAATGTCTGAAGCAATGGTTCAATACATGTTCTAATCTTTCATAAGCTTTCTTGCAATCTTCGCAATTGTACGTGTCGCTGGAGCTACAACTTTGTCAATATGATTCTGACAGTTTATGATCAATCGTAATTATACCAATATTTGGAAGTTTTCAGTGTAATGTGCACGATGATCGTTCGATAAAATTTTTTATCATGAACGTTTAAGTACTTCCATGGCCTACGGTATATACCAACTATATGCGTAATTGATCGTCCCAATTTATAAACTCTTGTATTTTCGGGCGCCACGACATCGTTGGAAATTATTCACGGCGATTCGAAGATTTTTGTTCGAATCTCGAGTGCCAAGATTCGAATGGAATTACATAATATATTTACCAACATTCCTGTCGCCATACTGGTTATACTTTTCCCAAAAAATTTTTGAAAAGAATGATGGGAATCCAATGTACGATTCTTTTTCACAATGAAAATATATTTTTTTCGAATGCAAATGAACGAAGGTTTTGTCAAAACAATATTCGTCGATATATTTTACACCTTAGGGGCTCACCACGCTCTACCATTTCGTTAATGCTAAGTACGCTAATTATACGTTTGCATAAGTATTAACGCTTCACTGATAAGTATTATTGCGCGCAGTGCATTGCCGTGGATTCATTTTAGTGTTTATAAAAGGAATGTCTAAAATTGTTAAAAAACAAACATGTTATGTTTATTTTACATGTTATCGTCGACACGTTTACGTTTGGTAAATTTCATTTGCACACCACTGATAATAATTATCATTGTTTCGGAACTTTTTAGAAAATCTAAAATTTTTTACTTTTCTCAGGGAAAGGGGAAATGGAATTGCGATGCGGAGTTGCTGATTATATTTTTTGTGATTTTCAGAGTGGCCGGTACTGCAGGTGCAATAGTCACTTGTCCCCTGGAAGTAATCAAAACGCGATTGCAATCTTCTTCCGGTTTCTACCCACCGTCCGTCAACAAGGAGCTGACGTCCGCATCTGGTACTTGCAATAGTATACCAAAATCGGAACAGAGAAGGAGGTTGTTTACTGGAGGCTTCATTAGGTAATTTTGCTCGAGTGACCTAGAGGACTAACTTCGTGTACTGCTCGAAACAATTAGGACATCATATTTTTTAATATTCGAATAGTTTAAACCAAATTTCAACTAGTCTGTTGTTTGCATTGTGTGCACGAAATTCTGTGATTGTTTTAAACGGATTTTACGTACTTCCATGTACTCGTGACTTGAGACAAAATAACTATGTAACAATATTTCTTTCAGAAGAACTAGCCGACACGTTTTTAACAAGCTTAGATTTGCTCTACATAAATTCATAAAAAAATAGCAAGATAATTTCCCCACTCTTTTTAATGCTTGATATAGGGTGAAAAATATTTTCGTTCAAAATACAAAAGATATTGTTCATTCCTGATAAGTAAAAACTAACGAAACATCGATATTCTTTGTAAGCGGGATGATATATTTTCGATAATGCAATGATATAAAAAGAATTTTATAAACTTTTTGTGTTTCTGTACAAATGTGTAGTTTTATTTCAAAATATATTCGAAATGATCTCCATTAACTTCCGATTAATTTTCTTCTCTCATTTGATTAGTCATTGATTTTACAAGCTCGATTACGATCCCAGCACATTTGTAGACAAATTCCAGGAAGTAACAATCGATTGGAATTTTTTTTGCCATCCGATTGTTCTATATTGCGTCAACTTCTTGATGCAGATAATGACAATGTTATTTGGCGCCGTAAACAAAGTCTGCATGCGACTTTAAAATGCGTTCCAAGACAGTCTGATCAAAACTGTACATGTATGGATGTGTCTGAAATGTTTGGCTATTCGTGCCCGACTAATTTTCACATTCACAGAATTCTTTGGCTCGAAATAAACCTTCAGCGACGGTGTATGTTGCAGCAGATCGTCGATTCTAGAAACCTATCGCATAGACAATCGCGGAAGCTTTAACTGTTCATTAATGAGAATCCAGAAATCTCTGCTGATGAATTTTATAGCTATTAATTATTGTGCCTCACAGTGGTTTACCTGAAATTAAGCATAAAATTTTCCCCAGTTCTGTAAATGCGCTGCTGTTACAAGGCGGTGCAAATTATTAAGGGGTAAGACCACTGTAAAAACCTAAAATTAAGCGTTTTTTTTTTTGGATGGATGGAAAAGTAAGAGGATGATAATACTCAAGAATGTTATTAACCATGTCGTTAAGTGTTCAAAAAAAAATATTTATTCAAAAATAGTGCAAAATGACGACGCTGGAGCCATTCTCGCGAGGCATGTTTTGAATTTGAGGGGTTCTGGGGCGCGCAGTGTAACTGACGCAAATTTGTATCTGGGGAAAAAAACAACAAATTTTCTTTTAATCTACATGAGTGTAGCTAAAGAAATACGTAGGGGATTTTTAAAATATTAATTTTTGCGTGATTGGCGAGCATTTGAAGTAGAAAGTTCAATTTTGTACAAAAGATGGGGCAATCATTTGTCAATAAATAATGTTAAAATTTACTTATCGGAGATCCCCTACGTATTTTTTCAGAAAATTTTTTGTCTTTTTTCAAACATGTTAGTTACACTGCGTGCCGCAGAGCGCATCAAATTCAAAATACACCCCACGAGAATGGCTCCAGCGTCGTCATTTTGCATTATTTTTGAATAAATATTTTTTTTTTGTAACATTTAACGACATGGTTAATAACATTTTTAAATATTACTATTCTCTTACTTTTCTATCTATAAAAAAAAAACGCTTTATTTCAGGTTTTTACAGTGGTCTTACCCCTTAAAGCAAACAGTGACGTGATGGTTTAACCGCTGTGTCTCAATGAACTTTTTATGACAAAAGCTATGAATTCATAATCAGCGTTACTTCGTGGATCGACTAATCGATTCGATTTGTTTGTTGCAGATATAATCTAATCGCCATTTCGCACTTCAGTGTGCCTCCAGGCGGCACTCCACGCTCCCACGCGGCTCCTCGTATCTTGCAATACATAAGGTACATTATCGAGACCGAAGGGATTCGCGCCCTGTTCAAAGGGCTTGGACCGAATCTTGTAGGCGTCGCGCCATCAAGAGCAATTTACTTTTGCGCCTACTCGAAGAGCAAAGTTGCCTTTAACACAATCCTACCGCCGGACACGCCAATCGTTCACGTCTGCTCCGCATTTTGCGCAGGTAAGTCTGTACGTTGTTTCTTATTCTTCTGTCGGTATCGAATCGAAGATAGTTTGCAATCGAGTTATAGCCGAGTTAGCCCTTTAAAAGTACTCGTACGAGGTGCAGGTTTGCGTGTACGAAATAGTACATCATAACAACGAGTCATACTATCCTAATAGGTTCAGTACATAATCAGTTTGTCATACCCGACTAATAGTGTTAAGTTACAAAGTGTATTAAATCTAACTAGCATATGAATTTACTTGCAGGCGCTAACAATTACTCAAATTTACATTGTGATCAAACGTCGTAATTAGGCGGGACTAGAATTAACACTGCCACATTTTGCGACAGATTCTAGACCAACCATACACGATTTAAAATTATCGTTTGCATAGTCGAATGGAGAATAGTTGCACGTATCATTATAAAAATCATTGTGTCCGTGGCCCCTATATTAGATCGATACGGTGGCCAGAAGGTGGTCGAATCGTTCGACACAGAAATAGATCACGAGCTGATCGTATCTGTTCGAGCCATTGCCCGTTCACACAATGTGCTACAATCACCCCAACGTTATCGCGTTTTTCTTCGACGAGTAATCTCAAGCTTTAGATAGAAAGCTCAGTGGGGTCAAGTTGCGCGTCATTCGCCTTATCTGCTGAATGGATTCGTCGTCATTTAGCCGCAAATAACTGGTTCGCGATTGTGACGTATTTGCGTACGCGATAACACGATTCGTGTGCTTTCCAAATCCTCGTAAAGAAGAATGTGGTCAAGTTAGGATTTCAGAGGACTTCCGAAGGAACATCGGTTTTCTGCTGGGAATTCCAGAGCCCAATATTCTCGAGATATTTTGGTAAAAATTGAACTGTTGCATCGTGTATTACGGCATACTTCCAAAGCATTCCATGGTAAACAAACGTTCAAAACTTTATTTTGAGAAAACTGTAGAGTAGTCTTTATTTATTATGGTAGCGCATAATCATGAAAAATAAGTATAATTAGAATTTGAGAATAAAACTTACGAGTATCCGACTTCGGAATCACACTGGGTTAATAGAGGGTTAAATATACAAGCGGTGGAGGATCTGACCGATATCTCGGTTTACAAATTTAATTTTCAATAATTTTTATCGAATGTTTTTGCTGCGAAAGTAATGGTAAACGAGATATCGCACATTTTATCGTTGACGCCCCTCTTTGCCGCGACTTCCCTTTCCAACAAAAATTTGATATCTCGCAGCACAGATTTTAAGACAGGCTAGATTCATGTGTGCGTTCCAAGTTCCATCGCAACAACTCTAACCGTCTCTCCACAGTGCAGCAACAAAAAGACAAAATTTAATTCTCTATTTTTTTAAACGTAGATTACATAACGACAAAATGACCAAGAATGTTTTTATTTGTTTTGCACGGTTCGTGATTCGTCGTGTCTCTCTTAATGAGGGGATATCTTATCCAATGAAAGATGAACTTCAACCTCAGATCGCAACAAAGCTCCGCAGGGGTGCCACGATATTAGAATCACGTCATGCTTGAAAGAAATGCTGGAAACGGATTCGCGAGATACAATCGCGTTTTTGATACTATACCACTGCTTGGGCCGACATTTTTTTCAGAATCCCAAATCTTATCTTTTCTAAAGCAATTTAGATAAACACGGGTAATTCAAACATCTTTTTTTCTCTATTAACAAATTCTGGTCAAAATTAATATTGATTCTTCTACTCTTTTGTTTTTAGATAAAGTAAAATACATGCAGTAGGCGTTTAAGAATAGAAAGGTTATCTACAAGTGGTTGACAACCTTTGATGTATGAAAAGATGCCACGGGGTCTGGTTTTATTGACGTGACCAATTATTGGCCCCTTTTCCAGGTATTCGTTTGGAGGGTCGTCCCTTCCACCGTGTAGAAACGTGCACGTGGTCACGTAGCTACCTACCAGCTGATTTCTCGGTTACTGTCCCTCGCTGTCAGAGCAACGATACGATTTTAATATCACTATTTATACTCTCGAATTTCGACAAGTTGTTCAGATCAAATTGGGAAGACTCGATACTTACATTTAACATCTGAAATAGTAATCGTTCGTGCAGATGGGTTTATCAGAGACACTGGTAGTTTCATTGATTCTTATTCTCATTTACAATCTCGTTTCAATGAAAGTAAACGCGAAGAACTTTTCTTCGTATTGTTTTTCCTTTCTTTCGTTTTTTTTTTTTTTTTTTTTTTATTACGCTGTTATTCAATGGCACAACACACGCGACGTGTAACAGATGACCGGCTTATCGTTTTTATTTTTTGTTATCCGTTGGTATGCAATTGCATTCAATTGCTTGATGGCCTTGGAACGTGCTGGTCGAGGAGTTACGGCTCGTTTATTACTTGCGTTGCGAGCGCATCGAGCAAGAAACGCCTTCCCGATTCAGGAATCACGATCGCTCGCGACAAGTATCTTCCTGGACTCTTGTGTCAGGAAATTCGGGTCAGTCGACAAACACAGTGTCTCTCAGTGGGGATGACTCCAGAAACCCTTCTCGATTAGGGCGAAAGTACGGTTTTCAACCTTTGGCACAATTTAACAGTTCTCGTAAGATCGCATTCTGTAGATTAAGTTCTGAGGTTTAGCAGCATCTATATGTCACTCTTGAGAGATGAATATTTTCATATTTATTTCAGAATTCGTATCTGCTGCATCCGATAGCACTTGAAAGTTATTTATCGTGTTAGTATCGATGGGCGTCATTACTAAACCGTTTTTGGTTTTATTTTTAAGTAATGGTTTAAGGATGTAGATGAAAATAGAATTTTTACGCGTTCGAAGTATCTCTGAAATTCTGTTTACTCAAGAATAGAATGCACTTTTAGTTTTCACGGGTGGTGCAAGTGCAATGGAGCCGAACCGTCGAAAAGATTTGAGAAACACTGGCGACAAGCACGCTATGCGCTTCTATTTTTAACCTAACGACCGTGTAATTCAACGCCCCGTCTCATAGTTATTTACAATGTCGCTAGACGAACGAATAAACCATAGCTTTCGGTTTTTCTTAGTGGTAGACCGTTTACACGTTTTCCGGAGTGTGCAAGGTGTAGTGGATTCCGATATCAGAGAGCGCACTCGATCCTCGTATGTGTATAAACACGACGATATTCTCGTTGAATGCGTGCAGTTATGCAACATCATTGAGAGATAGACGTGCGAAGAGACAGACAACGCGACCTCGCTGATTTTTGTCAATCCCAGAACGAAAACAAATACAGAATATATATAGATTGCCAATGATTCATTATTCGGTGAGTAATGCACAATCAACATTACTCCCTGAGAAATAAAAAAACAAAGAAAGTAACGACCGCGGGACAGTGTTTTGCAAAGCAGGGACATTTCTATTTTAACAAGGGAACAATTTTCAACGGATGTGTTCTCCATCCGAATAAATTATTTGCTCTATACTATAATGTATACTACGATTTTCCTTTTGGGAATCTGTTGATCACCAGGGGCTCGGAGGCCACGTTTTAACTCTTTGCGGCAGAGGATTTCAGATAATAAAATAGACCCATGTTGCATAGAAATTTTATTGCGTTCTAAATTAAACAAAATTGGTATATTTTTATTAATAAAGGTATCACATAATGTAAAAACATAAAAGAAATAGTAATAGTTTAATTAAGTTTGTTTTTATAGGGTGAGACTGTATTGGCATGTTGAATGTTGCCAGTACAAGTGAATACATTTGTAACATTAACTGAAGATATTACCAACTGCTTTACGTAAATAAGATGAAATATAAACCTATGCGCATGCAGCTATTGCAATATTTCGAGATGGGACTAAAAATGTCCCGCTATGCATTACGGTGCATCAAAAAGGTGGGACACTTTTAATCCCAGCGTGCCCCAAAGAGTTAAGAAACATAGAATTAATGTATTCATGGAGGCACGTGTGTGCGTTTTTTCAATTTTTGAAAATAGAGCATATAGTTCTCAAGTATGTCGTTAAAATACATCATTCCAATGGCGCTTGAATTGCAAATCATACACTGTGCGACGCACTTGAATTGCAAATATAACATGACACGGATAATGTCCAACGAATAGCTGACAAACGTACTGCATGTAGGTTTTAAACTAATAATAATAATCGGTCGCCGGTGTTTGGTTACGAATACCTTTTAAATTTTAATCTCAGTGTAACAATATTGCGGTTTTATGATACTCAAAAGGGGTCAGTACCTTGAGATACAATTTAGATCTCAATATGCCATGATTATTCAGAATACATGTCTGTTTTTCAATATTTTAGCATCTTTAAACACCTTCATATATTTCGGAATTACCAATGATTCTAAAAACTGGTAGAAGCCGAAGCTTTTTCCAAATATTGTTCAAAATATTTTAGTTATATATCTTTGTCGTCATAGTAAAATTTATTATATAATTTTTTAGACTATGATAATTCCTTGGAATAATTTTTAACGCGCAGGAAATGAAATCTTTCATCGTTAATGGTAAATTAAAATTCATATTGGCTATCTTGAATATCTTAGTATACATATAGGGTGGTCCACGTAACTTGTGCAGCTCGATAACTTCCAAAATATGCGTTGCACGAAAAAATGTTGTATACAAAAGTTGCATGGTTTAAAGGGGTACATTATGTAGTGCATTTATTTTTTTTTTTTATGGGCGAGGCGTTTCGGAGATGTGAAGGTCAACTTTGTTTTTTTAAATAGAATACTAAAACTTTTGTATGAAAATATGGAAGAATATCGAATTCCGAGTAAAAAAGTATTAACCTTTATTAATCCAAAACCTAATAACTAACGAGTAATTTCACTTTATTTCTTGACAATTTTTTTCGCGTAATATCAAATTGGAGACTCAATCGTATCACAGATTTCTGTAGAATAGTGAAAATTATCGTGGAATAAAGTGAAATTACTCGTTAGCTATTAGGTTTAGGGCTAATAAAGGTCAATACTTTTTACTCAGAATTCGATATTCTTCCATATTTTCGTACAAAAAATAAATGCACTACATAATGTATCCCTTTAAACTATGCAACTTTTGTATACAACATTTTTTCGTGCAACGCATATATTTTGGAAGTTATCGAGCTGCACAAGTTACTTGGACCACCCTGTATGTTTACGCGGAAACGAATAGCACGATACCGAATAGATCGAAAGAAACTGCGCGCTAGCCGTAGTGTGTACATTGTACTACGTATGACGTTAATATCACGCCTGAAAGAAAAACAAAACGTAAACTTAGTGCGTTCAATTTCCTTTCTTTTCCTCGGTATCTGAAAATTTTTATCAGACCGATAAGATAAGTATTTGTTGTTCGCATTAATATAATATATAAGGTTCTTAAATTGATAAATAAAAATAATCGACCGACGTGCGAACGTGATTGACAGTAATAAATAATAGGTTCGATTGTTATATTCGTACAAAGTTCGATAGGGCTGAATTGCTAAATGTTTATATCGTAATGTGCGTTATCTTTTTGTTGCATAGCGTAGGAAGCGTGTATCGTGCTCCGCCAATGGGCGATCATTTTGATGTTACGTTGACAATTGGACCCTTCCCGTGGCGTCGTACGACAACGACGCGTTGCGCCGGTAGCGAGTGCAACGTGATTCCTCGTAAACACGCGTCCGTCTATTTTCGTAGTGGCGTTACGAATCAAAACACGAGATTACGAGACCATCGGAGTCCCGCATACGCGACAATATACGCTTCCGTAACTTATTATGAATTTATCTTATCGTGTCTCCGGCGGATTGCGTTCGATCTTCTCATTGCGCTTGAATTCTTCAAACGCAACAGAGAGAAATTAATAGCTGCGCAATACTTGCGTGTGCCCCAGGCGTCGTTACCTTTTCGATATCGCGTGTTTATCGTATCTAGATGTACGTTGTATCAGTAAATCTAACATTCAGTGGATTATTATTAAACAACGTGCACACCGTAAGCCCAAAAATTGTAATCAATCTGAAAAGAAAGGCTCCGAGTACGGAAATTAGCGTGTCTAAATGCGAAACAGTACGTCCGATAAAAATGGCGTTTCAGCTGTGTATTCCGAAATAAACTCTTTTTTGTTCTCGAGAGATAAACAAATGTAAGATATTTGCTTGTAAAATATTGTATCTTTAACGATTGATAACTGTTCGAGCAGTAACGAATAACAGAGATTCTCGAAGGTTATTCTGGAGAGTGTCCTTGACAACGCGTGTCAAGGTTTAGGTCACCGGACCAAAAGTATATTTGACTTGGTAAAAGTAACGAACTACGTAATCGACTTTAGCGTTAAGACAAAATTTGTAAGTCTTATTAACAATTATAATACAATCAGTATGGATTTTTAATTCGGTGGTTGTGAGCAGACACAGGGCAGCAAAGGCCTAGCTTTAGGCTTCGGTGCTTGAGTGCATTTGGTGGTCCAAGAATACTCTAAGCATGCCCGTGTTTACGATACGCCGGGGCCACGTTGTTTTCAGTTTTGGACGCGGTTCACGTTTCGACGAGCGAACTGAAAATTGTTGCGTAATCCGGATGCGTTGCAACGGTCTACAGCAGTAAACAGTGCGTTGGCCGCCGTAGTCTCCCACGAAGTGGGTCAATAGGACAGATTACCTGTTTGCAAAGCCCGAACGAATGGTAAACAATTGTCGATCTGACGATTTTATTATAATATTGTTAAACTTCCGCGTGAACTTACAAACAGGTAATTTAATTGCTAAGGTCAGGTCGATTTACATTCTGACATCACGCGACGAGCAATCATTTTGCAACAGTAAAACGTTTCAAAAGTTATTTTGCTTAGATACAACGTCAGTTATTATACAGTCACGCGTTGACCCAGCTAAAGCAATTATCAGCAATTTATACAGGGTGTTCGGCCACCTCTAGGAAAAATTTTAATGAAAGATTCTAGAGGCTAAAATAAGACGAAAATCAAGAATACCAATTTCTTGATGGAGGTTTCGTTAAGAAGTTATTAACGTTTAAAGTTTTGTCCGTACTGAATTTTTTTTCTCGAAAATGCGCAGGATTTCGGGGGTATGTCTATTCACCAAAAATGATTGTAATTGATCCCCGCAACCGAAAATAATTTTTCCAAAACGATTTGAAATTTTTTTTTCGCCGAAAAATTTGTCCACCTTCCTGAATTTTTTTCTCGAAAGTGCGTAGGATTTCGGGGGTATGTCTATTCACCAAAAATGATTGTAATTGATTTCCGCAACCAATAATAATTTTTTCAGAATGATTTGAAATTTTTTAATTTAATTTTTTGATAACTTTTTAACAAAGCCTTAATCAGCAAATTGGTATTCTTGATTTTCGTCTTCGTTTGGCCTCTAGAATCTCTCATTAAAATTTTTCCCAGGTGTTGCCGAACACCCTGTATAGATTTTTCTTTCCTATTGATTGCAATGTTGGGCAAATTTAATGTTTTCCATACTGACAGTTGAGAAACTTTAATTTTTTTTTTATTTTAACATTGAACCAAATGTTTTCTTTTGGGATATGAGTCAGGTACAGTAAGTCGGAATTCCTTTTGTTTGCAGACACGTAAGCTTTACATTAGGCGAGTCCACGAATAATTCCTTGACAACGCCGTTCACCGTTGCCATGGAATATCTTCGACTCCTTGTTCCTCCTAATTCTGGAATATCAATGTCCATTCCGATGGCCTTCGTGTACGATCCCGTCGGGTCCGCTAGCATTCTCACCTAAGTTTCAACATTCCCTTGAAAAGTTTAAACCGTACCGCGAAGCCGTAATCTTAAGGATTTTGTAAATGTCCACAGAGTGCGTGCTGTGCCAAGTTTCTTAAACTGCAACCTTTCTTTGTAATGTTAGAAAGGAACCAGTCTTCTCGCGACCGCTCAAAACGGAAAACCGCTTTTGCTGTATTTTCAGTACAAAAAAGATCGATAATATGCTTTCTATGCGAATCGTTCGATAAGCAAAGAGACAAACGTTAAAGAAATATCGATGATATTGAGGCCAATTTTTTCCATAGCATAATATTTACGGCTTCGAATCGAACAAGATTGATTCCGTGCATGTATTCCTATCGCCAAAGGTAAGCAGATTATTCGAAAGGCCTGTTTTAGGCACCATAATCTGCATACCAATTCACTTTCTGGTTTTCCAACACGGGCGTAGCACGCACTCTATCGATGTCGTCGCTCGGAAAACAAGAATTACTCTATACAGCTGAAATTGGACTTCGTCAAGGCGAAACTTAAGACTGTTACAGCGCCGTGGCCATTTTTACCTTGTCGTCCGCGCCTTTGGCGTTTCCCCAAGCGGACATAACGTACGGATCGTTCACAGCCACGCAAATTATTTCCTGAAAGCCTAGAAACTGCAGCTGGATCGACCTAGTCGGTTCAATAAAGCGATAGAAATGATAACAGAAACGTCCTGACGATTCTAATTGTACAAACTAGTCATACTTTTCTATAAATCCCCCTAAGTGGACCTTGGAGCATCCTGGTACGTAGGCTCCAGGTACCCCAAATATAATGGCTTTTTTGTCCGCTATCAATTCCAAGATATTTCGCCGATTCTCTGGTAGAGCTTCGTACAAGGTCATGCTAGGCACTCTGTCCCCTTTTCTGATTCGTGGCATCTTCGATAAGGCTTCGCAAACCTTGATCCTTTCCGTAAAGGTTAGAAGCCCACGAGTTCGTTTCTCTTCGTTTGTTTTTCGTGCGATCGATCGCGATGATTGAAAGTCGAAACGTCGACTTTTTCTCTATAACAAACAGGGTAAATTTAAATGTTAAATCTCTACCAAATGATTTATCTAACGGATCGAGTTCCTGGGACAGATACAACTAAATCGCAAAATAATTTAAGTGTATTACGGTATTTACCACATTGTAAAGTTACACGTTTTAGTTTTGTCCTGCTTTATAAACTTGCAAAGTTTTGTAAAGATCGAAAGAAAACTTATTTAATGTCACTTTTCGAGGGAAAAAAAATCAAGCTATCATAATAGATATTGGGAACGAGTCTCGTTCGAAAAACGCTTAAAGAAACCAATTTACCTTCGCCAGCGAAAAGGCTCGGGGGCAGGTGTTCGGATGCAACGCGTCCTCAAGCACACGCACCGAACGGATTAAAGACACGTGCATTCATTTTTCAGGTTTCGTGGCATGCACGTTGACAAATCCTATTTGGTTCGTGAAGACCAGGCTACAGCTGGACCACCGAACGAACAGAATCACGGCACTGGAATGCATGCACAGGATATATTTGCAATCGGTACGAAAATCGTCCATCAATACAATTAAGGAAAAGATCTGCACCAGGAAACTCCGTTGAAAGGGTCTTACACGTAGCCGAGATCCAGTGTTTTTTATTTTGTAATGCTTAGAGAGTCGCAAAAGCGTTCCAACGTTCACCGTGTCGCGAGTCCTCCTCACCCTCGATGCGATATAGACCCTATCGACGCGTTTCCCGTCTGGTGCACAGTCTGTGGTTGACCACGTTGCACCTTGATTCATCGACACGGATACCCTCAGTGAGCCACCGTTCATCGATCACGCGTTAGTTATCCTGTTAGGAGTAACATTTCATTCTTTCGGTGATCGATACGAGACGCGCCGGAATGCGGAGGACGTAATTATGTCACGGTTTCAGGTAACGTTAGGTAGGACTTGAATAGATGGTTGCAGAAAAAAAAACCAAGAGAATACCTTCGCTATAGCTTAGCCTCGAACTTTTCATCGGACGAAAGTCAACAGTTAAAGGTGTCGCAATGGACGCAAGTTCTGATCTCAGCCAAGGATATTTTTACAACCGTATATGCACAGAGACACAGTGCGGAAATGTTTAGACATATAGTGAACGAAATTTCTATAATAACGCTACTGTTTTGAACAGAAAAAGTCAAATGATTCGACGAACGAAATTAAACAAAGCTGTATACGCCTATGTTCAGTGTAGTAAAACTTTTGCGTATTAGTGTTTAACGCAACCCAAACCATCAAGGTTATGCTTTACAAGTACGTAAACCGCGCCAATAATATTTGTAACCATCGGAGTCGTCGAAGTAGAATTTTTTTTTTTTCGTATAAAAATTAACATTTTTGCTAAAGCTTTATGCCTTTGTCAATGATTCTTGAAATCGACTGTACGCTAACGATTCAGTTGAACGCGATTGTTTGAGCTCCGTAAGTATCCCCGCAATTTACTCCAATTGCGTCCTCGGGAAAACTCAGACGACGCATTTGCATCGTAATTGCAATCGTGCCAACTCTAAAAACGGCTACCTCGACCTACGAATAGTAAAACGGGACCGAAATATCGGGAGCAACAATAAGCGTGGCTTGCAAAAACAAAACGTCACTCTCTGTCGCAACGATTTGTACATTATCCTAGTTCGTTCTCGTTTAACTTCCGCCAGTGCCCGGCGTCTCGGGTCAGCTCCCAAACAGCATGATCGCTGTGTTGTCTACTTTTACACACGATATGTCCGCTTGCAAAAAGTTACGTAAAACAGATGCTGAATCGTTAGAAGAAAGAGGGGGTTCGCGAAGGTCGTGAAAAGGAAACATAAATTTTGACAAGCAAATGAATCGATCGGATATTAAGGTACGCGTAGGTTTGTTTATCTGGAAATTGAATTTCTCGGTACAACTGAGATGAAATTTATTTTTAAGATACTAGTCGTATTTATAACTATTGGCTCATCCTAAAAGTTCATACTGTTTTTTGTTAGATGTCAATATTTAATCCTTAGAAAACAGTGTGGGTGTTTGTCACGAATTCTTGTCTCATTATTTTAATGAATGGATACTTGACAATTTAATTAATCCTAAAAATTGTATGTAATCCTTTAGATATAAAACGTTGCTCTACCTACCTACTGCGTTCGCATAATATTTTGATAATGGAAGTTTTACCGTAACATTGCAAACAGCTTTTTGTATCATATGCAACATTTGCTTAATCAGTCACTAAGCAGCCCAGTATCATCGGTCAAGATTTCGCTATCATCGCATCGCGTGATCACGTGACACACACGTGTGTCACGTGCTATCTTCGAACGATTAACTATCAAAATTTTACCGATAACAGCACGTCTTTACAATTTTATGGTTCATGTCGGTACCAAACTCTTTGCAACAATTCACACCACAAACTTTCATACGGTACTATTTCTCTTTCTTCTGTCTTTGATCTTTGCGGCGTAATACATTATTATTATTTATTTCTAACAAGACTACTTTAACAAAGAAATTGGTAGTTTGGAAGCTAGTCGTTACCTAGAAATGATAAGCGAACAGTATTTTCACAGAGTGTTAGCGTTAGGAAGCAAATTATAGTTCCATGCAGTTTTAATTATGGAAGAATTCAGTAATAAATATTATCTCTCGGAATCTTTTGTTATCGCTGCAAGCATTCGCAAATCAGAAACGAGAAATAATGGGGCTTTCCCGATAAATGCTTCTGAAACGTATTTGTCTAATCAATCATCGACAAAGTATTATATCTGTTTTATCGCCACGGGGGTCTAGATATCACACTTTAGATCGAAAGATAATTTCTTTTGTTAGAGATAAATTGAATTGGTATTATAGTACTAGTACTCCAATAAATCAAAGGACCTTGTTTCTGGTCGTTGCCGCAGTATGAACCAAATATCAGCGATATAATAAATATTTCGTATTTTAATTACCTTTTATTAAAATAAAAAATGTTGAAAAGTTTTTTAAAAAAGATTATACATATATAGATATATACCACGTATCTCGTCTAATCCGGTATAACTCAAATTATTTTTGGCTCTGTAGAACAAATTCTACGATACGATATGAATAACACGGATATTGGGATATAAGTTAAAAGATAAATTTTAATACGCTCAACCTTCAAACTATATCTACCCTTAGATACAGTTTATAGATTATAGCTAATAGTTGTAAACAGATTATGAGTTTATTCTTTGTTTATTCCTGTAGAATCACAATTTACGCAAATTGATTAAAGAATTAAATCAAACATTTTATTGATGTTTTAGGGTATCCGGGGATTCTACAAAGGTATTGTGGCCTCCTATGTAGGAATAAGCGAGACTGTGATACATTTCGTGATCTACGAGGCTGCGAAGGCTTGGCTGGCCACGCACAGGTCCAGAGTGTCCAGGCAAGACGATCGAAAAACGTTGCGCGATTTTATAGAGTTCATGGGAGCTGGTTCATGCTCCAAAGCAATCGCATCCACCATCGCCTACCCCCATGGTAAGGTTGCTATGTTCGTTGGTTAAAAGATTACAATTATAAGCTCATCGTTTCATCGGTTGTAATAATATCCAATAGTGCATGTAACATATCAGGAGATAAGGGTAGAAAATTGTGAAATCCGAGGTCTTTTCTAATCTTCGCTCCTAACACATTGCTGGCAAATAAAAGGCCAAGAGGTTCCGCTGAAATTCTTGCAAACTTGTGTCGGTTGGTGTTTCCTATATCGGTTGCATATTCTATTTTCGTGACATTACTAATGACTCAAGAATTGGCTTTGATTCAAAGCACAAGACGTAGACGCGACTTTGTGCAAACTTTCTTGCAAACATTCCGTGCCGAATATTAATTTTCACATTGATGTTATCTCGAACCGTCGCAAAGAAATTTCGTGGATCGCAAGGAAGAAGAGAGAGTCGTGCGCTTCATTAGCTCAGGAATTACTCCAGTCGCTTTCGATGGGAATCGTTGTAGACGAACTAAGTAAAAGTCAATCGACATAGACACTACAAACATCTTCAAGATCTTAGAGTCTAAAGATAGCATGAGCTATATATCTCGCGTGCCAGCAAATCAAGATACAATTGCGTGATATGCTGGCTGCGGTACTTTGATCGATCAAACACTGGGTATGATTCCCCGTAGAACATGGAACATCCTACTTTCTCGAGCGACAGGATTGCAATTTAAATGTCTTAATGCAGGGGATGATACACGTTAATAGTACTTAAAGTAACGTGTCCCAAATTTGCCCGTGTCTGCCATTGTGTGTATTTACTACACGCGAAATAAGGATCTCTAGCGTAATGAAGTAACGCGCGTGTGTGTCTGCCGTTTCAGAGGTGGCAAGGACACGATTGAGAGAGGAAGGTACAAAGTATCATGGGTTCTGGCAAACTTTGAGGACTGTCCTCACTGAAGAGGGCACGAACGGTCTGTACCGGGGATTGTGCACCCATCTGATCAGGCAGATACCAAACACGGCTATTATAATGGCAACGTACGAAGCGGTGGTGTACATCCTTAGCAGGCACTTCCATCAGCATTCGCGTACCATCGTCAGCCCCAGCGGGTCACAGTTCTACGCGGAAGCGAAGGCGAAGAGAGAGCTTGCCTAGGATTTGCTCACGACCCATGAATAAAGGGTCGATATAGCTGGTAGCGAGTCCCAAAATCCTACGGTCTCGACGCGAACGCACTAACCCGGATGTCCAGTCACCTCGGGTGGAGACGCGAGTTTCCGTGCTCGCGGAGCGTCATCGGGTGGCCAGATTTGTTACAGTTGAAGGTAGCAAAAGGTATCACAGCGCGTTGAACGCTGTGTGCTCTGTAAGTGTAGCAAAAAGTAGTCCTTCCTCCTTTCAGGTAGCATACATTCACACACGGAACAGCCTGTTGTCTTGTTGTACCTCGCCGAGACACACGGAACACGAAGCAGAAGCCGAAGCTGGAAAAGTTGAGTCGGTTACTTCAGAATATGCGTGCGACGTGCTTCGCAGTGATCATAGAGAACAGTCTGTATTTCTATCGGTGGTGTGTGTTTACTGCTGGCAGTAATACAGACGACAAGAGCCGTTCTAATCTACCTCTTGTTGTTTTGGGAGTTTTCAAACTAGAATAAACGGGAATACACTAGTGGATAATGTTATAAGACACTACTTCTGAAAATGAAAAAGACCGTATACAATTAAACAAAATTATCACACTTTTTCGCGGTAACAATAAATCAACCCTCCTTTATTTTATACTACCTCCGATCATTCGATGAGACAAACTTTTGTACAATATTTGCATGAAACCTTGATCCAAGTCTATCCGTGCACGTTAAATCCCTTCTTTTAACTAATTAATATTATTGTATTGTTTGTTGCCTTCATATATATGTCAGTTTTTAAACCAAATTTTCTTTTACAATTCTGGCTACGTTATCACGTTGAAATATAAAATTTTTTCGAGCTGAATTTGTATTTTGAGTCGGATGTATCTTATAATTATGTCCACCAGTGTATGTTTTCGAATTCTGTAGTCATTTGGTTCAACTAAGCGCTAATTGACATATAACATCGCAATAGTTGAGTCTTGAAATACTGTGCACCCGTATAAAAGTGGTCATTAGATTGCTAAAAGTAGCCGATTAATGAAAAATTAATGAAGATTCCTGTAGTTTTTAAAGCACCCGAAAGAAATGTATCTATCGAATGCAGCACTGAGATCCTTTTGGATCGGTCTGGGTACAGGCTAAAAATTATTGAAAGACATACAAAGAAGCAAGGTACTCCCGAGAGGATCCAGTTTTTTCTGCTTGTCCATAAATTATCTTTCTACGATTAGTGACCAGTGACCATTCATAAGAACCACCAATGCATTGTGATCATTGTCTTTTATTATTCCTTGCAATGCTTTTGTGTGATTGATACAACGGGAAAAGCTATGAAATGTTTACGTATCGTTAAGATCAGTTGTAGCATCATAGTTCGTGTACTACGTTGTACATAAATCATGTTAGAATGATTGTTCCGTTTGCTTATATTCAGCGTTAGAATAGAGACGTATTATTATTATTACTATTACTGTTATTATTATATCTTGACCTAGATATGTTTCCTTTTTTTGTTTTGGAACCTTAAACGCTTATTAACGATGAAATAATTAGGGACTTCTGAGATGGTTGGTGCGCGTGGATCGTTGATTCAGAAAAAAAATCTTAAAAAAAAAATCTGTTATGGAGAGAAAGTAATAAAGTACACAGAAATGTAAATAATATGTATTGATTTTCAATTGCTTATATTTTGTAAATTCACAGAAATGTAAATAATATGTATTGATTTTCAATTGCTTATATTTTGTAAATTAACTCCTCAGGAGTCTGCTGTGAATTTGATTACGGTATCTAACGTGATCGAAGAAAAAATCTGATTGAAATGATTATATACTACGTAGCAATAGGTGCTGTGAACATAAAATAAATCGCGATATATATATACATATATCTGTAGATTTGCAGCCGTTTGTATTTTTTCGGGCGCATAAGATGCGCTTTATTACGTCACCAAATAAAATGAGAGAAAAAAATTTTGTATAAAAACGGGAGTATTAGTTGTCATCTCATTTTCTAAACTGTTCCAGCGTATACTTGGCGAGCATACATTGTTAAGTGATTCGTCGAAGCAGAGATAAATGTTAAAGATAAGTTACATGTAAGAAGGTTAATGATGTTTTGTTACCGAGATTTTATCGTTCGCGCGTAGTGTTTGTAAGTTTGATTATGTTATCCGTTGCAAGGCATCGGCTAATAAGAATTAACAGAGGATGTAACATAAAAAGTTTTTAATTTTTATACTTGTCTCGATGTTATTCGTGTACACGATTATATTTGTTTGCGTTTCTTGGCTTGCTGTTTGTAATAGATTCGACAACTCAGGTTTCTTGCTGACTAGTCTATGAAACGCTGGTCCACTGAAAGTCCTATTTTCGTATTCACGTCGAATCGTTAACACAACTCCTTGCACCGAGGAATTGGCAAACGATAAATTTAACTATATCATCAACGATCTATTTCGATTTCATTTATAACGATACACGAAATTTATCCGTGTAGGGGAAGAAACTGTGATTTTAATTTATCTTCTGTCGGCTACACCTGGCACATGGAAGAAGTTACTTTCTCGCTTCGTTGTTCAAGCTTATCGGTTTTTTTTGTTTTTGTTTTTTTTTTTTAATGCGTATTAGACGATTGTTTTCGATCTATGATCCAGGCAACTATTCGTTTTCGTGCTCCAAGATTTTTTGGTAATCTACAATTCTAAGAATAAAAGTTTCTGAATCTTGAAGTACAAAGCGACAAATTTGATAGTGTGTGCATATACGTATTTAAAGAAAAAATAAAGTCTTGTTAAGGATGACTGAATAATTTTTATTGTACTTAGTGTGCTTCGGAATTCAGAGTATAAACTCTAGTATACCTTTGGAGAAAGACGTTATATGAATTGTTAAAAAATGTATATATATATACATATGCATAGATGTGCGTGTATATGTATATGTATATGTATATGTATATATAATATGCATCATTCAATAAAATCAACGAATAATATTTTTGTATTTTGTTATCTACATCGAAGCTATAAAATACTTATTTTAATCAATTGCTTATATCTCTGCAACACGTTTACAGTAATTTCATTGTGCGCTTTTAGTTCTTCAACCTTTAATTCCTCCTTTGCTTTCTTTATAGCCGAAATTACTGGCGTCACATGACGAACACGAGCAAGAAACTGGCATGATCACTCTCTTTTTCAACATTTTGTAGTCTTCGCACATCAATTCCACGATGAGACCCCTATGATCCGTAGGTTGACAACATTGACAATTAGTTGTTTGACTCCAATTGTCTGCAAAGGTATGAATTATAAAAAACTGGTGTTATACTATGCTGTATTTAGTAATTGTGGTGTTGGGTATCATAGTAGACAAATTTTTACAAATTTCTATGTAATTACCTGTGTCAAAATATGTAGTAGATTCGCACTTTCCACGACATTCCGTAATGCCTTCGATAGGTACGATATTTTTGCAGTATCCGTGTACTCGATGTTTCACTCTAAACATACCGATGGTAGATTGCGGATCGAGTACGTCAGCGGCACACTGATCAACTTTCAAATTGTGCGACGTTAAATTGCACATTTTGCAACAGTTTTGAGTATAAATTGACGCTTCCGGACAGTTTGTTATGTCAGGACAAACCGTCGAACTACTGCTGACAGACAGTTGATCGCGTTGGTCCATACACATGTAAGAAGTACAATTATCAGCGGACGACCAAGTTGCGCCCGCTTCGTACAATATGTCTCCCGCCACACAGGAAGTTTGTCTACATTTTCCACAACATTCGCCCTCTTGTTCCTCGTACGTCCACCCAAGAGCGCAATTCTTCGAGCAAACTTCCACTTCTTTGTGTTTTGTTACATTCGAGTCTAGTACGCACAATTCCGTGACGCAATTATCCGACATAGACTTCCAACTCTCTCCGGGTTTGTACACTTTGTCATAGTATCGGCAACCAGTTTTAACGAACTGCGGACAACACTGGCCTGGAGTGTATTGTTTTTCAATTACAAATGCAGCCTCTTCCAAAGAATCTATCTCCGGACATTTTTCCACAACCGATTCGACGTGCACGGTTTCGTTGCTGGATATGCAAGAGTACTTGGTGCAGAAGTCCGCGGAGTGCCATTCTTCTCCTACGTTTCTCAGTTCGTTACCGACGACGCAAGCTGTTGGAACACATCGTCCACAACAATCAATCCTCTTGTTATCAGGAGGCTGATACTCGAATCCAAGATTACAGACAACGTTACATTCTTGAATCTTCGTTCGCTTCTCAACTCCGTTCTCTTCTTTGATGCACTCCATTAAAGTGCAGCTGTCTTCAGAATTCGGTTGCCAGATCTCGCTTACATTATATACTTTCTCCCCATCTTTACAAGCTGATCTTTCAAAGTGAGGACAACATTCAGTTGGCATTAGAACTTCTTCCAAAACAAAATCGAATACGTCTGGATGATCCTTGGCTTTTAAACACTCCATTGTGGAGCACTTTGGCCTCGGACCATCGTTATAGAGTTCACAAGTACAGGAAGTACACACGTCGTCCATCCACTGCTCTCCAATTTGAACTGCCACCGTCTGCTCCGGCGTTTCTATTTTGTTGTCTGCTCGAATGTTGTACAGACAACGATCTTTCGGCGAGACGCATTTATAATCGGCGCAGCAATCAGTCACATTGGTCTTTAATTCATAGTAGTCCGGACAAGTCGGCGCCGAAGGACAAGTTTGTGGATCGCAGATGGTCATCGACCTCGGACAGCATCCCGACGTATTCGTCACTCGTACAAAACCAGGTTCTAGCACCTCGACTTCAAAATCAATTTCGTTCAACGCCGGGCACTCGGACGGTAATAAGCACTCGCAGATAAACTTTTTGCATCCATCAACGCCGGTAGACACCGTCATAGTTTGCCCATAACCACACTCTGGCATTTGTACTTCTTCTGTGCAGAAGGGAGCTGCGGTCGTTACAGCGTTTGGCACGCAAATATACTTTGTACAGCAGTCTTCTTCCGTTCCGTTGACGACAATTGGCGTCATGTTTTCTTCGCAGACGGTGTTCACAGCCGGGCATTCGGTTTTCTGACAATTGATGATTTTGTTATCGCAAGTGCACTTAGTGCAAACGTCTGGGAACCACGTGTCACCTTCGACGTGGCCCTCCTTATCGCACATGAGACACTTTCCTCTCGGTATGCAAGAGTCATTGTGGAAAACAAAGTCGCGTGGACAGAAACAACCTTCTTCGAAGTTCCTCGAGCACTTGGCATTGTCGATTTCGTTAAGGGTGTCGCAAGTTTCCTTGCAAGCAGAACCGCATGGCTGGTATTCCATAAAAGGTGGACAAGTGTAAGGACACATTTCGCTGCTTCTCCAAATCAGACACACTCCCACCTGCTGACATTTTCTTACGTACGCTTCGAAGCTATCGCAGAAGCCACCTCCGGTGCACATACTGTCCTGGCAAGCAATCAAGTATGGCATTGGATCAACGAGACCGTGACATTGCCCAAAATCGATCGTATTCAATAGATTTCTGCATATGTCTTGATCGGCTGGTGGTAGGATGCATTTGCTTTGATTATTGGACGTACACGCGTCCGTGTTTAAGTTGGTACCCTGTGGCGATTCGGTGACTAACCAGCTTGTACCAAAGTCTTGCATGTCATTCGTAATCTGAATAACGACAAATTAATTTAGAGGCATTTATTTTGAAAATTGTACCAGTAGTATGCCCCTGTTCTTAATACAATACAGTACCTGCCCATCCTGTTTCTTCAAGTCATCCTCAGAATCTTCGTTACAATTGCCGCAAAGACCTTCCATTGTTCCTCCAAAGATATGCGAAGGGAGGGTGAGGGTAAATGCGAAGTTCGGTTGATAGCTGGTAATTTCCAATTGAATGGAAGGTATCAATAAACGTAGCTTTTCCACGTTTTGTTCGAGAACCAACCAGGTTGTATTGACAGGAAACTCTTCTACCATGAAACCATCCTTTATCACTTGGAACTAGCCGAAACAATATGTGTTAGAAACTTGAATCTTATGTATTCTCTGGATTCTAACATTGATTTTACCTCCTGAGTAGGCCCGTTTTTAATTTCAACGACGTGTCTTTTATAGAGCACTGTGACTGTTTCTACGCACAAATCCGTGTTACACATTCCGTTTGAGACCATCACCTGTTTTCAAAGTGCATAAGATAGAATATAATTTAGAAAGAAACATTTTACACAGTAATCGGTCCAAGTACCTGATACGTATGATCTTCAGGGCTGTTTGTGTTTCCAATAACGTCTTTCGATAGAACGTATGTGCAATTGCCGTCAAATTTAATATTTTTTCTATCAAAACTGATGACTTTTGAATTGCTCAACCATTCGCAAGTGCAATCTTTGCACTTCATCGGTGGTACGCACTCGTCGCCATTGCGTACTGTTCCTTCGGGACAGAAACAGCCAGAGAAACATACCCCTTGCATCACTGGACAGGGATCTATCTGTTGCAAGTTGTCGCAGCTAGTTTCGCATTTGTTTCTACGATTACAGAGATCAAAGAGTCACGATTATTACCAATATTACTATAGTTAATACTTCACCAATAACGTGTTGTTTCAAAATATTTTAAGGATCATACCTGAAGCAATCTTTGTGAACAAACGGTGGAGTACAAGTAACGGGACAATCGTGAATGCTCCTCCAAGTTGACAGATCTGTGGTCAAGTCACCAGCCTGACATTCCGTAACGAAGCTGGTTAACGAGCGACAACGACAATCATTGTAAGTGTGATTACTACGTAGACAATTGCATGTGCTCTCCATACAACCGGACACGAATCTATCCAAGTCCACGATATTGGAGCACATTGCCAATGATGAATCCTTCGCCATGTTACAAATCTTCCAGCTCTCCGTTTGTAGATCGTAGGGACAAGCCTAAAGAGTTATAAAATTATGATTGAAAGTTAAAGCAACGTTAAAACAGGAACTTATATCGGTATTAAGTTTCTGCGTTAAACTGTTACCTGTGAATCGCATTCCGGCACTCCCTCCATTGCCCAGCTGTTTCCAAATTCTACAGTGGTTCGTGCCTGATTTCCATCGGGCAACTGTCTGTCGTTCATCGAATATCCATCGAAATAGCCGCAAAGACCGTCTATTTGACGAGCCAATTTCGTGGAGACCCCCAACTTCACGTTGGAATTCAAGTCCCAAATCACCCAGAACCCATAGTCATACGATATCAAGTACGTTATATCGCCAATGGAGGATATCTTAAACGAAGGAAATTTGTTGCCGAGTCGAGCCACTTGATTTGGCGCATATCTGTAGTAATTCACTTCCACGTGCATGTCAGGGTACATGACGATCACATCGTCATCCAACATCACTGCCAGAACTTGAATGCACTGATTATGTGAGTCACACTGCTTCTCCACTATGAAAACAATGTTTCTGATCAAACATCTTAATATCCACCGATATAATGTATGTTCTAATGGAATACACTTATTGCAGAACACTCACGTGTAATGTACCACTTGTTGGTAAACATATCCCTGGCTAATATGTGGTTACAAATATCATACTTATACTCTAGCTTGTCAAACGTGTTAAATGTTCTTCCAGTTACGTTGCAAACAGCTTCTTCGGGTGGTGGGGGTTTGCAAGTATACTTTGGACACTTTTGAAGTTTATACATGCTCATTTTTTCGTAAACGACAGTGTAACCTAGGGGACAAGATGCTTCCGGGCAGGCTTGCAGTTTGCCTTTATCAATAATTGGCGGTGGTTTATTGGGTACGCAGGTGAACTGTTCACACTCTGTCTCATTTTGTGGCGATTGACTTTCAACAAGCTTCGAGTACTGCATGGATTTCCTGATTGAAAATATTCCTCATTAATAAGAGAGATTATTATCAGTGAAAATTTAGCAATTCTCCAATTTTGTGGACGAACGTACCTCAATCCTTTAGCTTTCCAGGAATGTCTGGACAAAGATTTCACTCCTGCCTTTGAATGAGATTTTTTATAATACCGTGATTTTGAACTTGTTCTATAGCCAGGTGGACAGATTGGTTCCTGACACACTTGTGGTGGAACTAGAAGAGTATGAAAATCTTACTTTCCACATTCTTACTTCCTTCGTTTCTAAGTAACTATTTTGGTACCTGTAGTTTGTATTTCGGTTACTTTGTCGTGCCGTTCAGTAGTGCTTAATTCCAAAGTGGGAGGTGTTGTTGCAATTACTTTAGAACAATCCTTTTCGTCGTCCGGACAGTCTTGGATGCCATTGCACCACAGATTCTCGTCGATACAAACGTTACTGGTTGGACACAGACGCATTGCAATAGGACAAGGCTTGCATACGCAGTTGCATAGTTCATTCACTACCGGTCGCATTTCTGGCTCCTGACAAGAATCACATTTCTTTGGCTGACAGAAAGATGTTCCACCCAAAGTACACATGCATTCCTGACAGTCTTCGCTCATGTATGTCGTGCCCACGTTGTACCTGTTAAATGTTATGAATGAAGGCATTCAAATACTTTCGTTTATGAGTGTAAATATGTTTACGTACAGAATATGCCCAACTACACAGGGACATTCTTGCTGAATAACGCAAGTATTCCCATTCCACCAATAAGGTTCATTACACTGGCAACTAATTTCATTTTCATTTGATACTCCGTCACAAACATTGCATTTATTGATAAACGGTTGCGTTGTTGTCGATGTAGTTTCTACTTTCACAATGGTTGTAATAGACGCTGTAAAAATAATTAACAATGAATCGTTAGAACAAAAATATGAAATATAAAAAATTGTCAAACCCGTGGAACAACATATACAAAAAGATACTAAACTTACGGTATGGCACGAAGCAACCGAGCACTTCTATTTTGAGACCTATATGTTCATGCCATTTCATTGGCTGTAACTTCAAATATCTTGCATGCAACGGCCTGTCGAAGTAGTTCCTTATTATAGTCTCAGAATCAAAATTAGCCAAGTACTCTTTTTCCACGCCATTATTATCGATCACCGGGTTCCAGTGACGATCGTCGTTACTGTAAAAGACTTTGTAAACAGTTGTCCAGGTACCTTCGCCGCCCTTTGTTGCAATTCCTGTTAAATTACGAGGTTCCAAGAAATCAATCTTAACAAATTGGTGTGGATTATCTAGCTTAGGATGCCAAGCGTATGGAGACGTTAGTTTGAGATTTGGCAACAAATCTGTGGAAGAGGACGACGTCGACAGCTGTTCGGCAAAGATTAGACCATTGTCCAGACCCATCGGTTCGTCGCATACTAAAAAGAACATAATTTTGTGCAGATTACACTGATCAACAGCAAGTACCTATCCTCCATCTAAGCAGACAATTCTACAGTTTTGGCTCTAGTTTTTCTAAAGCACAAACTAAAGGTGGATATTTTGTTGACCAGTATTATTCTCATTTTACCTGGATTTAGGACTTTCTCGGTTGACGCTGTTATTGTTGGAACACTCTGTGTTACCGGAATGCTAGGAACTGTAAATTCGTGGCAGCCAAGTAACTCTGCTTTTATCGCTATTCCGTTGTGCCAGGATAATGGGTTTATCCGGACAACCTTTGCTTCGATCGGCTCAAAGAACGTTTGCATCACAGGCTTTAAGTTATCTACGGGTCCTCTAAATACTTGTGGTTGCTTCTTATCATCCAATACGTAGGAGAAAGCATCGCCGTTCTCAGAAAACAGTACTCTATAGCTAGTTACAAACTTCTCTTCCAGGCCGCTACCTTGTAGAACGGTGCCATAAATTGGTTCAGGTCTTTGGAACTTTATATCGAGCCTGGAAACAATGTCACAAATGAGAGCATCTTGGAACGGATAGAGCATTTGTTTTCAAAAGCTTTGTTTACCATTGATCGACGTTACTGTACTCAGGTTCCCAGTATCCAACAGAGTTTTCAGGAATATTGGCATTTAAGACTGAATTTTCTGGTCGGTACATTGGACCTTTGATACTACTCGCATCAAAAGTGACTTGATCGTTTAGATATTGAATGAGAGGAATGAAATTACTACTAACACAATGAGCTGGCGGACTAATAGTGCTAGGTACGACGATTGTGTGTTCCTTCAGACTTGGTGTCGTTGAGGAAGTAGTTGTTTCAGTGGGCAAATATGTAGCTGACTTCTTAGTTGATGTCTGATTAATTTCACTGGTGCATGATGATCCATCGCAAGTGTAATAATTATTGATGCACTGACAGATCTCGCACTCTGATTCTTTCACAACTGCACTGGGAATAACGAGTTCCCCTTCGTAGGATTTACAAGAACAATCACTCTCGTCAACGCATGTCACAGCATCTCTCCAGAATTTGTGTGGTGGGCAATCTGATCTCTCCAGTGGAATGCAACCTGATTTTTAACAAGTATAAAAGCAAATATTCAGTAAATGTCTAGATACGCAGAAGACAATACTATACCTGGTACGCATGTAAATGCATTGTTGCAATATCCTTTCTTTGACAAGGTGTACCGATAGTAATCACAAACTCTGTTGCAATCAATGGCACAGTCACTCCATGTTTCACCCTCCTTGCAAGCTTCTAAAAGCAAAATAGTAATTGTAGTCGTGTGGTCTAAGAAATATTGTCAAAACAAGATTAAAAATGGCAGTACTTGTAGTTATGATATTTTTCTCTAAAATTGTTGATATCGTAGTGTTATGTTTTGTTTTATTATCAGTTGTCCATTCGGTCTTAGTCGGTGTTGTCTGCGTTTGCAAACATTCCGGTCTCAAGAACAAAACATTGGCTGGCCAGTCGCAAACTTGTGCCTGCGAGTTGTATAACAGAGTTTGTCCGCACGATTTTTCCACGAATTGATTTTCGTTAACCCCGGGTACGCATTGATAAAATAAGTGGCAGTCTGTAGGATGAGGTTTATTGGGTTGTTCCACGCTGCACTCTTCATACGTTGGTTTCACGGTACTCGGTGGTACTATTAGAAAAATTATTATCATCGATCCAGTAAATCGATATCCACAGACTATACGCAATACAAACCTGTGTTAATTTTTTCCGTGGTAGTTGCTGAACATTGACACAGAACACTGATTTCGAAATCAATGCAAGGAAGTTTAGGCTGAGACTGACAATAAAGACCACGCTCCAAACTACACTCCACATCCAAACCAGTTTCTTTTGGCGTTAAATGATGTTTCACGGATCTACATCTTATGTCAACCATGTGGCTTCTGTCGCACACTGCGGATCCTTGTATGTTTGCCTTTAATTTAAAGAATATAAGACAGGTTTCATCTCCAAATTAACCCTTTTGCAAACGGACGACTTTCATTTGCAAGACAATGAAGGGAGATATTACCAAATCTAAGTGGCTGGGTAGAGGTTCACGGTCTTTAATCTTCCTTCCCTTGATCGCTGGATCCTGGTTTAACCAGACAGACCAACCATCGACACACTTTTGCGGTTCTTCCAATGGAACAGTACTTAAAACAGTAGTACAAGGTTCTCCTTTGCATAATACTTTACCACGGCTACAGAAACACGCCTGACAATCGTCATTGCTAACACTGTCGCCTTCATAATAAGTTACCTAAAATAATAGCCGTCATAAGTATTTGTTGAAACATTTTTTATCATTTTTAAACTTACCCCATTGATTTCAATACAGGGTATCTTGCACACTTCTCTGGGAACGCATTCTGTATAGCTGTCATTACTGTAAACTTCTCCGTTGGAGCAGGTTTTAACGGAACACCCCTCGACGCAAGTGTCTTGAGAGCATAGGTGAGATTGGTCTTTCAAAATCATTAGATTATCGCAAGTTTCACGGGGACATGTTGAAACGCAAGGAGAATACGTGCTACATTTTTCGTTACACTGCATGGGACAAAGCTCCTGGGTTCGCCACGTTATGGGAACACCTTTTGCATTACACTCTTGTGCGTACGCTGCCAAAGCTGTGCAAAGACACTCACAATCGCCTCCTAAAAAGTGAAAAAAAAAACAAAAAATTTTATGCAAAATGTAAACTACATATTGCTCGTTTTCATATATTAAATATATTATTATGTTGATAACAATCAACTAAGGACTAATACGTTACCCGTGTCACAGCCGCAAGTGTCAAAAATGCAATTATATAAATAACTTTCAACTTCGACTTCAGAGTGGCATGGGTAGAAAACGGAGGATTTCAATATGCCACATTTCTGCACAGCCCACAATTTTCTTTCCGGGTGTTGCTCGCATGGATCCTTAACCGATTTAGGTTCGGGACAAAACTCGTTCTTTTTCCAAGAGTCTCCAAACAAGTTGGCAGACGCCTCCGATATCCCGCCAGAAGGTGTTTTAAAATCGTCCTCGCTATTGTCGTTATAGTCACCGCAAAGACCCTTTGTACGGCCCTTCCACCTAGGATCCAATCTTATGTAGACTCTGGTACCTACGTAAAGTACAAAAACCATGATACAGTTACGACTTTGAACAGTAAACATTTAACTTTTAATTAAAGTCACCTCTGTCCCATTGAACAGTCAGCCCCAGGTCTGGCACGTCAACAAATACAAACAATCCAGCTGTTCTCATTGCAATTCTCTTAAAGACTCCCGAAGGTAGCTCTTTTCCTCTCGTTAGAGCAACTGTTTCAGAATTATCATTGCCTCCAATTGTAACGGTAATTGATTTAGAGCAAGATACACCGGTTGTTCCACATGGTACATTCTGAATCGATACGTCGTAAGATTCTTCCTTTCCTAGTGAACCTTTAGCCAGAACGTAGTCGCACATTCCTTGAAAATCGTAGATCTTTCCGTCAAATGTCTTGTAATGCGAATCACCCCAAGCGGAACAAACTCCCGCGCATATTGTATCCGTACACTTCCATGTGCCGTTCGTGCATTCGCAAGTGTTACACTCGTTCTGTATGACAGAGCTTTCCTTGTAACTCTGACCTCCGTGATGACACGGGCAAGATTCCTCTTCGATACATTTACCACCCAGTTCATCCAAAACGTAGCCAGACCTGCAGACACAGCCAGATTTGCAAACGGATGGCTGTCGAACCGACTTGTGCATATTGTGGCAAGTTCGAGGCTCTGCTGGTGCGCAATCTGTCACCTCCAAATGTTGGCTGGCTATGCAGGATGTTAATAGATCCTTGGCTGCTGGATACTCTCGAATCTCGTCTGACGTTGCTTCCCGACAGTTCCAAACGCCACCTTATTCGAAACATAATTTACTTAACACATGCTAATCCATTTTACTTGAGCACAAGTCTTTTATATAATTTGAGAAACAAAACCTGCACAGGTACAAAGCTCAAGAGCTTTGTTTCCAGGCCTGACTTCCCGGTGCCCAGTCTGAAACTCCAGTCCTGCGTATGTACAAGGGCACTGCCCAATTAGAACACACTCCCCATGAACGTCCAACGTTTCACCCTCCGGGCAGTTGCATCCCTCTACGCATTCTTGTTTGCAGTCCTGGTAAGCGGATATATCACCACAGGATCTACAAATAATTAACAAAGAATTACCTATTGCGTATATTACAATCATCAATTAAATTTGCAATCATAAAATACCTTGTGCAACTATTTCCACAAATCTGATAGACTTGATTTTCAGGACAATGTATCTTACACTCGTTTACATCTTGTCGCCATAAGAGTTTTATTCCCGCAGCGGCGCAGTCCTTCGCATAAGCAGCCAATATAGGACAGAGACATAATCCAACATCAACCTTGCAGGAGCACATGTCGAACATGCAATCTTTATAAAACACATCTGGATCCACGTGCCAGTGGCAGCCTGAAAGGGAGGACTGCAAGTAGTTCGGACCCGACAAAAGTTGGATAAATTGAAATTTATTTGATATGTAGATAATACCGGAAAATAATTCGCTGAACAAATAGGAACAGTATTGTTTGGCAGTCGCTCGTTTCTGTGGATCCAAGTCGCAAGGATGATCCAATTCCTTTTCTGGAACGTTGGCACAGTGCTCGTCCGACTTCCACTTATTAGCAAAACAGACAGCCGTGTTTTCGATGTCACCTTCTGGCGTAATGAAATCGTCTTTCTGATTCTCTGAGAATGTACCGCACAGTCCTCTAGTGTGACCTGATAACGATACATAAAATGAAAAAGTGAAGATCGTTGCAGAAACGAGACTAAAAGATACAAGAAACATTAACCATGAAATTCGGGAGGAGCTGTGATGTAAACGCGAGAGATCCCATCCCACCATATTTCCAAACCGCTTGGCAAATGGACAGCCAAAAATATACTGCTGGCAATACGTATCCTGATATCATTGACCAATGAAGGGAACATTGTTAAATCGTTTCCGTCGATTAGCACCTGATGATTTTGCTTTAGTTTCACGGAAGTTCCCTTGTAATTGATGGTTATAGTTTTCGTACAAGATGGTGCATCGGCTGGAACAAGTCCCATGTTCTACAAGCAAAATGACGTTTTTGTTGTGTAAATCTCGGTTTTGGGCGTGTATAATTCATTTGTTACAAGTAAAATAGGGATCTCTGCTACAAACCTCTGATATCGCACCGGAACAAGGAACATTTTCACCCTCGATACTGTAATAGTCTCCCTTCATCAGATAGTATTTACATTTCCCCATGAAATCGTAACGTCTTCCATCGAAAGTGATGTAATGTGGGTCTCCAATGACGGCGCATCTAGCACTGCATTTAGCTTGCGTGCATATCCACTTCCCAGAAGAGCATGTGCAAGTGTTACAGTTTTTCTGCACACTTTTTCCAGGTTGAAACAGCTTTCCACGCAATCTACAAGGACACTCGTCGGGATATATGCATCTTCCTTCGTGAGCCACAGTTCCTGTTGGACAGAAACAACCCTCTTCGCAACGATCGGCGTTCAGTTTTCCTTCTATTCCTGTCCAACAGGATGGTTCTGCTTCTGGACCGCAAGGCATGTACACTCGTCCGTTGTTGCAAAGCATGGCTGTAATTCAATCCAAAGCTCGTACCATTACTTTCCTGATCAATTCGTCTACCTTAACTTATAAAGACTCACGGCAAGTATCGTTGTTTCTCCAGCCGGACAAGGACACGACTTTCTTATGAGCACATTGTCTAACGTAAACGTTCATCGTTTCGCAAGCACATTTCCTCTTGTCATCGTCCGTACAAGCACAATAATCCCACATACACGCGGTCTGCATTTCGGAGACGCTAATTGTATTGGCACAAGCCTGGAATCTATGATCGGAAAGCAGCCTGGTACAAAACTGGATGGCGTCTCCAGCAACGATTGGACTGGAGTCGCAAGAGTGCTGAACATTTGGATATCCGTCGCACATTTCTGAAAGAATAGAATAAAAGTGAATAATTATGAACATATTCTCAACATGTTTTCTACAACAGCAATACCTCCAATGTTTTCCGTCCGCCAGGAAGATGCAAAGGCCGCAATGTTTCTCGCACGATCCCCATTTTTACTCGTTTGATCGTCGCCCTTTTCGCCGTTCATATTACCACAGAGACCAGTTGTTTTGTTCCACATATTTTCAAGAGCTTCGATCTGCAGCATGAGGGCACCGTCCCACTTTAACTGGACGCCCAGAGAATCCAAAGTCACGATAATAAAATGTGCGGACATCTCCACCCTTAAACCCGGAAGTTGCGCCGGAATAGATAGCAATTTCTTCGAAGTTCGAAACTCTGGGACTCCGTATTCGTTCCTCGACAGAATGTACTCCTTCTCTTGGATAAAAATCTTTATGATTCTGAAACAATCTTGGGTCTTGCAAGTTGGGCTATTCTCCACTATTACGGTGAAGATTCTGTTCTGTGCTTCTTGAACCAGAATATAAGAACAGTCGCTATCGAAATTGAAGACATCGTCGTCGAAGGTCTTGTAATGTATACCGCCCCAAGTGAAGCAGGTTTTTGGGGTCGGGCGATTCTCCTCGACGAATATCACGTTGTCTTTCAAAGGATTGAATACTAACTGAAGGTAACAGGAAACATCGTTAAGCAGTGTAATAATGTACAACTTCAAGTCTTCACTGAATTATTACCGTGTTCGAAGTCATATTGTAATTGTTGTAAAGACCCATCATATCGTAACTGGTTTTATATAACGGAGATGGTTTCGTATTGGAGCTGAAGACGTCCTCGTACGTCCACGAATGGTTAGTTTCCCGAACGTAAGAGTTATACGTGGTACCTAGAGAAATCACATTCTTGTTTTTACTGTACTTGCACTGAGGTATTGGCTGTGGTTCGAAGACACCGGTTTCATAGAAACACGTGTATGCGGTCGCAGGAGGAAACTCGAATTCTACTCCTTCAGGGCAATTCAGAGTACATGAGGAACTGTCACCAACACTGGTACAGTAGAAACCACCATTGAATCCCATCTTCTCTCCTTTGCAGGCGTCAGCAGCTGCGAAAAAATATCATGATTCACAACAGAGTACAGACATTATTTTACTGAAATAGGCATTATATTTACAATATTGACACTGAGGTCCTCTGTACGCCTGTGGACATTGACAAAGATTCGACGGAAGACAGTTGCCTCCGTTTTGACATGGTGGATTACATACAGCTGTAACGAAGAAGATATATTTATTAAATGCTCAAATTTTTACTTTTCGAGAGGACATACGTTCGCAATTAGGCACAGAAACCCAATCTTGTCTGGTAGGTATCCAATTCCCATTTTTGCAGATAAGATTAGTAATGGAGGTGCCATCCGGAAACGTGAAATTTTTCATGCAGTTTATGGTACACGATCTAATAGAATAGAGTCACGATTGAATATGTGATCAAATTAATTCTAACGACATGGATTTCAGCATTCTTAGAATAACATACTTTGAGTTACATAATTTGTAAGAATTAAACACTGGAGGGGGATACTCCATGCATGGTTTATTCTCAAACTGGCATTGTGGTCCAATGTAATCTTCAGGACAGTTGCACTGATGGGGTGCAATGCATACTCCACTATTCAAGCATTCTGGCATGCAAATTGCTAGAAACATGTGATTATGTTTATTTTTAAATGTTGCCCTATACCAGAGCAATCGAATATTCCCCGAAAAACTTACGTTCGCAGTGAGGTACAGAATTCCACTCTGTGTCAAGTATGTGCCATTGTTTGTCCTTGCAAGTTACAGCCAGCTGTGTTACGCCGTTTGGAAATTTATAATTTTGATTACAGGCTGCAATGCAACCACTATAAACAATAAAATAAACTGTAATTTTAATATTCGAATACAATAAGTGGTAATATTATGTATCAATTAATGGGGTATCACCTGTTCGTTGAGCATCGTATTCTACCATTTATAGGTGGATCTGGTTGACTGCTGCAACCTCCTGGGAACAATTTTTTCGTCTTCTTCACGCTGTAATCCTCGCTTGGGTTATCGTCCAATAGAATACTTAGACTAATAATAATTAATTCATTAATGCTTAAAATTAAAAGAAAAACATAATGTTATCACTTACTCGCCCACATCAAAGGATTCTTCCGTATTATTCCCAGTAATTGATGGGCTCACAATAATAATGATTATCACAATATTGAAAAATGCGTTCCACAGCACCATGTTGAATTAATTGCACTTATATCATTTTTAATAATTCAAAATAATACAATGAAACATCTTTGAAGGCTTGCTGTCGCCGAATATGCGCATTAATACATTTCTTCTTTTATATAGCTATGAAAAGGAAACGGATAACTGATAAAGTACAGTTTGATAAATGTTTCGAAGAAAAAATATGGGTCAGTAATTCGGAATTAAATTAAAATAGGAATTTGTTGATGAATAAAAAAATCTGAACTGAAAATTGGAATGTTTATTCTCACAAATTTGCACATGGTATATAGAAATTTTTGAGTTTATTTTACATTATAAAAACGAGTATTATATGTGTGTATTTGTAATATATTATCAGGTACTGTAAATCTTAACTTACAGCAAAGGATAATGCTCTTAGGCACTGTGTACGCGCGTCTCTATTATTCAAAGATAGATTGCGCGAATAAAATATTATAAAGTGATGCTTTATATTCTACATTCTTCACCCATATTCTAGAGTGGAAATGTGATTTGGTTATCACGGTCATTATAAGCGTTAATATGTTCCTAATTAGTCAGATAAGGCAACAATGGTGTAACAAGGGAAATAGTTATCAAACAGCACCATTCCGCTGTTCCCACATTCATATCAATGAAGCTTATTAATACTTCAAATATTGCGTATATAAATATATTCGTAATGCGTAAAACCCCGGTAAACATTTCGAGCCGGAAACAATGTTGTTACATAAAAAAACTGACTCGACATACATACAAAATATTTGAACAATCATTACAACAATCATTAAACTGTATTATATAGGTAACATTACTAAAACAATTATAATGTCAAAAAAAATAAAATTAAATACTTAACCACCTATTAATTTCATAAACGAGGTAAGTGAGTGTATTAACTAATCTCAAATAGCTTCAGAAAACTTGTTAATTCGGTAGAACCTACGTTATATAAATTGTATGAAAATTACAATGTATACAAAAATTATTTGGATGTATCTCTATTTTCATCCTAATGATTCTTGGCAATTAGCTGTTCTGGTTCGGAATATTTCGAATGCCATATTTCGTAGTAAGCGTCGCTAGAAATATTATTCAAATGCGTAATGTTGAATTCTTCCTTCAACGCAATTTTCCATACCTGAAGATGCAAATAATCCATTGATCATAAGTTTTTCTACCAAGATATATAAAAAAATGTTAAAATAACAATAATCTTACATCATCATCAGATACTGTTGTTGATGCCTTTACATTTCCAAAAACACCTTTACTTTTCAAGACATATAAATGATACAATAAATAATCTAAAGTATACATTTTGTCAGATTCTCCGATGTTAAAAGTAACAGACATTAAAGAGCAACACTCGTTTTGTATCGGATATAAAGCACGAGTCCAATAGCTGCTAGTTTTAATTACTCCCCATAGTAAGGACTGTAAGGAATACCCATGGAATGTACCTCTTAAATACTGATCTCTTGTATCAGAGGGATGAATTCCCATAGATGCCAAGTGTTTAGCTGAAAATCATCAAAAGTAATATTTTATTTTCATTTACATGCATTACAAAATTAATATTACAATAGAATAAATGTACCAAGGTAATAATCCTCCTGTTTCCAATATTTGCCACCAGCTGCACATTTTTCAGGATTGTCAAACATTTTAATTAGTTTTCCAAGCACCCCAATACTGATAACATATCCTGCATCTGCAACGTTGTAAGGCTGTCCCCATAGTACAACCGCATGACCTAAATAATGATCCTGTGTATGATTCAATAGGGCCAGCATATATCTTAAATTCTCTGGAATCACCAATGTATCATCTTTTACAAAGATAAGCCACTCCAAGGTTCCATTATCTTTCCAAACATAGTTAAAGGCTTCGCACAAAAGCTGCCATGAAGATAACAGCTTAATTTTTAAATTTATAATTGGCACTTCCGAATTTTTTTGTTGACCAAAGAAATATATCTTGTTACAACGTTTCCCCCAGGTATTCTGAATAGACCTTGTCATTTTAACTTTTTTTACAAAGACAATGCAAGTAATGTGAATCGTGGATTTCAACCATTCAGATTCTAGTTTTTCTTTTCTTTCAGATCCATACAGATAGGCGTCCATATTAATATTTTTTACTTTTAAATTCTGATTTCTTAACCATTTGCTGTAAGTAGCATCCATGGATTTTTCTTTCCAGGTTTGAAGAACAATCTGTTCATTGTTCCATGCATCAGAGACAAGCCACTTAAGAAGAGCACTCCTTCTTGCAATGTTGGAGTTTGCTGAAGAACTCTTGCAAACAGAAGTACCATTAAATACATCTTGAACTATGTATAATAATACTGCAAAGAGAAAACCAATTCCAAATCCGATCAGAAATATGGATCTTAACTTAAAACAACGAAGATGCATTTTGTCAATTGTGATATTAATCTAAAATCGGTCATGTCTATCGTAGAATCGATTCATTAAAACCAATCAACAAAGTAACATAAACTTTTGTTAACATAATTAAAATAAAATGAAAAAAGATGAGGAACCTAATCAACAGGTGATACGCATGTACTACGTAAATTTAATACAGAACATAACCACGCATCAATTTTATTGCATTGAAATTTATCATTCAGATTCGAATAATGGCAACATAAACTACTGGTAGAGAAACGGAAAATCCTTTTTAATCACGCAGGATATTATCACTTGTAATTGTATGCAATTATGCATATTTAATTATTTACAATTACAAGGGTGTCTCAAGATGGGACAAATTAGTAAATGCAAGTTCCATATGTCAGGAGGAATAAATAAATTCTTTTTCATTTTGCAATTCAAGATTTCGTTTACAAAATATAATTATATATGAAATTTTGTTTATTTTAGTTATTCATAAACAATGCTATAGCCATCTAACAGCGAAACGTATGAACTAATTCTCTGAAACAGAGGTTCCCTCTGTTAAAAATAAAAATGTATGATTGCTTAAAAAATTTATTTATTCGGAGGGAATCATCGATTTTTTTAATTGATTCTGACACAAATCATTTCTTTCAGTTAATAATTGATCTTAGATTCGTCCAGTCTCTCATGAAATGTGGATTTCGTTCTTCTTTTGACGATCAAACGCAATTATTCTTCCAGAAGTTTCTGCATTTTTCTACTTGAACAGTCCCAGAGAATGATTGAAAAGTACGTAAGACTATTTATTTCTTATCAAGAGTCATTGCTAGACAGTGTTTGCCAATTGTAGGGAATATGCGTTTCAGTAAAAAAATTATTCTTAAATGCAGATAATATTATAGTCGACAATCGTATTTAATACTTTACTATTTTGAAATTCACTGTCGCTGAATAAATTAGTAATAAATAATGATTATTTGGCACATAATTTCAAGTTAATTTTTCTTTCGTAGCGTTTTAAATATAATTATGCAAGTGTAAGCTACCATTGTGGGGAGGGGCATTCATGTTTGGTCAATTTGAGCACAGATCGAGTGGCAGATGTGGATTTAAAATATAATGAAAATAATTTAGGAATGTTATAAAACTATATAAGAATATATTAATAACATATATTGTACCCGTTATAGATATATGCATACATAGTTATAATATGTGGTTCGAATATTATTATTAACGTGGTATAATGGTGTGTAACACGTGACCTTCACATGACCTTGTGTACGGAGAATCCAGACATGTATGCTTATGTGGCATGGCATAATATGGATATCTTTATTGTTTTTTCAAATAATATTATAAAAAATTTACAAATTCAATTTTCATCGAGATATAAAAGGATAAGCTAAAGTAATATGTAACCAAACGTAAATATGTAATGAAGACTCGTTGATGATTAAAATTCGGTCCTCCAAAACGGATCTTTTCTAAGAATTAGATTTAAGATTGTAAACTGACGTAGAATTTTTTTTAGTAGAAGATTAAGCGTGAAACCGTTTTCAAGGACATTCTAGCGAACTATCGGCGAAGTTGTTCATTTTACTTTTGCTTCCTCTGTTGTCCCCGCGCTAAAATCTGGACCAGTCGCGTACCTGTCCCGTGCAGAAGACCTCTCCCGCAGTATTGATCACTTTGGGAGGGAAAGGCACGCTGGGGGTGGCCAGTGAACACGTGTCACTGGTCGAAGTCTGAAGGGAGGATTTTTGTTCCTCGCAGATAAGGGAATTAAAAAATTTAACAGAGAAATAGAAATGAAAGGAATCGTGTAAAATGAATCTAATTAATGGGGCAATTAGAGCACGTAGACCTTACACGAAGTAGACTGAAAAATATTCTACTTGCAAAGTGTTGGAGTATTGATCCACCTTGGGTGAAATGCAGATTTTACGAAGCTGAAAATACACCATTTACATCCAAGTCTGTTTAGCGTGGTTTGTGTTTAATTTTTTGCAATTACTTGCTAAAATTACAGATCAGATAAAAAGCTGTTGAATATAAAACGTAAAAGTCAGTAAAAACGACCCGTTTTTGGTATTACAAAATTTTCACATTTAGTTTCTGTTTTGGACAAACAGGAGCCAAACTTTTAACTTTCAATTTCGTAGTTAGAGCCACAGTGGGTACTGGAATTGATTGCTTAAATGAGGAATACATATTTGTTATTGGTCAGTGTTATTTAAATTTATTTCTAGATGATTAACTCTTCGAAATACCTAAACAAGGAACTTTACGGTTTCCAAAAAGAAACAATGCCGGCATTATAAGCTCGAGCTTTCGAGCGTCTACCTCTAACTCGAAAGAGGAAAGTTCCCAAAAATTTTGAAATCTTAAGACTGTTTCTCCCCAGTCGAAGAAACACAGTGGTCCGTATTTGTCAAGTTCAGAACAGAGGGTTGGATGACAGAAGATGATTTCCGCCATCTTCCCGCGGTTAGAGCAAGATAAAGCGTGGATAAAGCGCGGCCAAATGCTGGTGGAGGGAAACAGACGCGAAAAGTGATGGAACGAGTCGGAGAGGAGAGAGGAGAGCCTTCGCCATCCTCCCGAAGCTCCGTGCTCGCGTTTGTACAGTGGTAATGGGCTGTCAGGAGCAGACGTTCGCTGCTCGTGCCGTATATACCAACACCATTACGCTCCTCTTGGGTCGGTTCCTATCAGCTTGCTCTCGTATTATCAACCCCTCTGATTGCGTTCTCCGCGTCTCTCCCTTCGTTCTAATCCTTCGTACCCGCCCTCTGCCCCATCTTCGATAACGTCTTCCAGTGGAACCGTCAACGGTGTAACCACCGAACTGCCTATAATTTCCTAAAGCAGCCATGGACGTTCGTTTTTAGACAACGGTGCACAATGAACCAGAAACGCGACAAAAAAGGCCAAGAGTAAGATTATTTGTAACAAATTGATAGGGTAAAGGTACCTACCATGGCCTGGCAAAAGTTAAATCGCTGTCGATCGAAACACAACTCATATTTTTCCACGTAATTTGTCTCAAAGTAAAAAACAATCATTCAACTTTTATAAAGAATAAGTTACAACTGTTGAAATCTACAGATTTTTAGTTGTCATTGAAAGAAAAACGCGTAAGAATCGGGATCTGAAAGAAACCAAATATGGCCCATTCAAGAAATATTGAAATATGTATGCTGAGGTTTCGAACAGGACTTATTTACAATATATCGTGGTATGTGTACTTTAGACAAATATTATATTATTTAAATAGAAATTCTTTACGTACTTTTTACGACAGGATGTTTCCTAAGATGATCTGTTTTTAATGAAAGAGATTTCTCTAAAAAATTATAGCATCCCCGGCTACCGTGCAGCGTGTGACGTGTCGATCATTCTTAGGACATCGGTTCCTCCTGGAAGAAAAGCTGTCTCCATCCGGGCATAAGAAATGGAATCCGTTTGAAATCAATTCTCCGTGTATCCTAGGCGAAGAGGGTGGCGAGTGGTTTTTCGAGGGATGGCGTGTCCGGGCCACGCCTGCCACCTCGCCAAGCCACGCCCGTGCCACGAACCTACCCCTGTGGGCTCTCCCTAGGGCCGAAGGGCTAATAATTCACGTCACGAGCACACCTCACCATAAAGAGTCAGCCGCAGCCGCGCCGCCTCGTATATTCCGTATCAAGCGTACCGTATGAACGTTATCCCGGTCCCAGTTACTGTTAATTACCGATCATCTTCCGTAATTAATTGCCCGCGTCACCAGAACCAACTGGTTCTCGAGATCTCTCCAAGTTTGGAGACTGTATTGATCTTTCGGTAGTTCGTCCTTGGGCGTTGCGGTAAACTGCGCGGAAAACGATGTGTCTTGCGAGGAAAAAGCTGAGCCCCGATCCTTAAACCCCTATTTCGAGATTATAATAATAATTCTTTACTTGACGGGTTGATTCCCTTTTGTACTGGTTTAAAAAAAGACAACGTACGGTGAACAAAACTGACTTGCATCGATTATTATGCGATTTTACACAATTTTCCTTTGCAAAATCAGCATGGAAATTGCTCGATTAAGTCATGGTAAATATTTTCACTTTCATCGATTGATATCATCTTTTGTCATTTATTATCTCTCCTCTGAAACAAGGCTGCAACAATGGAGCGAGGTAATTAACTGGCCTGACAATTATGTAACGTATCGATTCGTTCGTATTTGGACGTGTAATCGTTATTCGCCATTTTCGTTCCGTCGCCGGGAAAACGTTTGCTTTGCTACGTGTGCAAAACCGGCTTCAGAGCTCCCTTTAACAGAAATTTTCAATGGAAAATTATGGACGTTAATATTGCGATTTCGCTACGATATAAATATTATGATATCATAGAAAATATTGCACATACAGTGAAAACTCGATAAATGTTCTCAAGTGCTGTGGGGAAGATTTTTCTAATTAAAATGAGATTAAACACGATATAAATCGATCAATATTTGTTAGCATAATATTGAATTAAATATTGTACTTGAGAGTCTTTCTCTCTTTGTTTATCCTTCTTGTGATGTCCTTTTCTATCTTCGGAAACATCAAAGAACGACGGATCGAGGTGCTGGGTACATTTATCAAATAGGAGGTAGCTATTTTTAAACGGAACACTTCCGCTGTTCCGTAAGTGATCAGAAACTGCAACACTTATGAGATAGGAGGTTTCGTTAGCTACCTTCGTTCGATAAATGTACTATCCACTGACCTTGCGGAGATACCAGTACGTACATGTTTTGGAGGTGCTATTAAATACCTTTCCCTAACTCCACTGAGACATTTCACTCGAAATTGAACACGTTTTGGTACACAATTTCAGATTTTGTGCAAACTGAAATATTTTCAGAAATGTAATCTTTAATGGATATTTAAACTGCGGCGATAAATCTGGTTCTCACAAGGAAGGTTTTTTAGGTGTCCGCCTCCGATTGTTCTGAATTTTGGATATGTTTTAAAGGACCGAAAAATAAGATATACGTATTTTTTTATATCGGTCCGTTTT